GTGAAGTAATGAAAACGCTTGAACACAAGGTAGAAATGTCAAACCTATTTCACGGAAATTATTTTCTGAAGTAAACTCAAAAACCTGCAAAAAAGGATGGCACACTTTCCATATTTTTGAGAGCCTACAGGTGACTGTCTCAACTTCGCAAAGGCCTAGACCTATTACAAACACAATAGATCGAATCAAGCGTCTGAGAGTTTTTTAAAATACACTTATAGACCAGAGGGTGGAAGGGGACCACCACCACCCGAGCGGAGAATTTATGAGACCAATATATTCCGGATCAGTTTTTCGTGTAGATTCCGAATTTGGGTGTTGATCCCCCGTTTTAGGGGGCTTTTCAGAGATATAGGGGGTCTAAAGTCCGATTTTAGGGCTAATATAAATGTCAATAAAATATAGACAGGTCAGTTTTTTGATGATATCTATGCTTGTTGACTCCTATTTGGAAGTGAGGGGGCCATAGAAAACGAAACAGGAGTACAAAATACTGTAAATTCCACGAAAAACTGATTTTTCGCGACTGAATGGTGTACTGTAGCATGATCACATAGGGAAATGGCTGTTTGTACTCACCAGGAATGTGGGTTTCTCAGACATGTGTAATGACTGATTTGGAGATTTTCATATAACTACAGCTTTATTGCTATGGATCAGAAAGGAAATGAGGCCCAAAAGCAAATCTTTATGAGAAGTACTTTAACACATGGTTTTGTGTCATAACCTAGGAATGTAACTTGTATGTACTTCACAGCCTTAAACGATAATTACCTGTCAACATTGAAGACCATTGAGGTTGTAAAAGTCTAGAGGTTTGGATTTTCTTTCAAATGACCTAAAAACTGCAATTTCATTGCTTACAAATTCATTATCATTTTCAATGTTCTGTGATTAAAGCAAGAGTAAACTATGAAAGTAGTTAGAATATATGGCAAACAGAAAAAGAAGATGAGCTGTTCATTGCACTCATTTAGTCATTGAAGATCAGATCCTTTGCCTTTTAACGATATCGCCAGCTTTACCTGAACTTTACGAAGGCCGTATCTGTCTTTGCAAACAAAACGCAAAAGGGGAAGAAAGTAAGCAAAAAGGCATCTCCTTAAAAAAGAAAACAGTGACGAAAGCAAGCGCCTAATAACAAGGGCCTATCAATGTTAATAAGGGGAAGAAGCAACTATTGAAACTTATATAAACTTTCATCATGCCGAACTCTGCAAAAAGCTCCAGCATTAAGAGAGGGTCAAGCTTTCCTGGTATAATAAGTACACAGTATTTTGTAGTAAGAAGTCGACTACCCTTACTTCTACAGCTGTCCACGATCCCACTAACGAAGTACTTGAAACAAGCGAAGAACAGTGTAAGCTGACTCTTTCCTGTGTGTTCATATATAACAAATCATGAACCGATCCGTCGCAATGAAGACTTTAACTGGAATGTATTGTTTCATTAACGAGAACAGCAGACTAAGTTAAAAATGGGTTAGAAGCCGAGTTCGGTGATAGTATCCCCTTCCTCGCTGTCTCGTGAAGCTCAGGTACTTAGAAGTATGAGGCACATATAAATACCATAGTTACCAGCCTTATGAAGAACAGAAAAGAGGAGATAGGCAATTTGCTTTGTTGTTGATTTGGTTGCCACCATTCGATCTACAGTTAGAATACCGGACACTTTCAGGAGGCTTGCAACGAAGTTGCTGAATGAATTACGGACACAATACAACTGTGTATATAATGCATTCGAACATGCCGATTGGTTCATCAAGAATGCAGAGAACCATTTCTTCATCAAATCGCCAAACATAAAGATTCCTCCTAACTTCGTTGCGTTTCTGAGGAAAAGACAGAATAAAGAGCGGTTGTTTGAGTTGGTTAAAGAAGTCTGGGTTCGTCAAGGCTGTCATTTAGGGAACAGAGTGATCAATTTTTCTCGCAAATTTTTCTGAGGATAAGGATGAAGGTGAATAATTTTTTGGGTAGACTTGATAGTATTCAAATATATTGTAACAGTAATGTTTTCTTTTGGAAAAAATTTAATTTTTTCCACCTCCCTTAACCCCCTAAATTCTAAATTTAGAAAAACACTTTCAAATATCAGCCAACAATCATAGATATAGTCAAAGAACATTTCTATCTTTATCTTATTGAAATTTATTGAGGAAACCAAATTTGTAGCAATTAACCCCAAAAGATGTCTTTAGACCCCCCATATCTCGAGAAAGCCCCCTTAAACCGTTGATCAACACCCAAATTCGAAATCTAAGCAAAAAACTGAACCAGAATAGATTGGTCTCATAAATTCTCCGTTCGGGTGGTGGTGCTCCCCTTCCACCCTCTGGTCTATTACAGACAACTTAATCATAACTTCATTTTAGAACTTTTCTCTATAGTCCAATATACAAAGAGCAGACCAGAATATGTTGAGTCCAACTCAATTAACACCGTTGATAGCCTGAGCCGTTCATTATTTTCCTTCGTTTTAGCTATTAGTTTTTTTTCCTGTAGGTCATTTTTCCTAAAATAGCTTTTCTAACGGTGATGTCATACAAATCTATGTCGGTAATTTTCAATATTATTTGGAATGTTGGCCCTAGTTTTTGTCTAGTTAATACAAAGTGACACGGAAATATTCCCCTTTGGGGTTTCAGTGGTCTAAAGAGCAGTCCTTCTCGGTGCATCGGCTTTTCTTGTATAAGCTCATACACTTAAGACATTAATTTTTGTTTAAAAGTTGCTTACGGGGGCTCAAGTACGTAAATCTGTGCCACGATTTCAAAGGAATTCATTTTGGTTACCTCGTAAGTGTTGCAAATACGCGGGGTCACACATCATCTGAATAGTTTTTTAACGGCTGCTTTTTCCGTGGTGCTTTATCTCATGTCTCTCATTAGGAAGGTAAAAATAAATTAATCCCGTGGGTTGTGAAAGGTTAATTTAATGCATTTGAGTTTCCCAATACGTTAACGATAATTACATTCCATAATGATAATAAATCGAATTTTTATACAGGATAATTGAAAAATAAAATCTTACAAAAAATTAAAATCATTTAAAACCTAAAAAATATCATTAAAATCAGTTAAATGTTTATGCCCATTTACAATGTTTTCTAATGCATTTCTGGAAGCAATTCTATATTTAGTGCTCCTAATTTCATGGCACCCTTTTGGCTGGATGCGTCTTCACCACACCCCACCAAATCCCCTTTGTATCCCTCACAGGGACAGCAGTGCACATACGTAAAGCCAGGGGTGCCGTACTAAAAAGTTAGGAAGAGGGGCTGTGCTGAAAAGTTAGGAAGAGGGGCAAATTCAAGAGGCCACACTCATGACCACACCGTTACCACACCCAATAATTGGCATTTGTGTTAAAGACCCTCCGTTGTGTGTAGAGGTCATTCTAACTATCCGATGACACAAAAAGACATTGCTCATTCATCACGAAACTTTAGTATAAAGGGTTGCCAGAACAGAATTGGTCCAACCTAATATGAACACACTTGTCAAGGGGAAGGGGAGTGAACTGAGCTCACCCAAAATCTCTCTGAATTTTTACAAGAGCCCCTCCTCCACAACCCCTCCTTCACGGCCCCTCCTCCACGGCACCACTGCGTAAAGCTCTATCCTTTATGGACAATACTGGTGGTAATATTCAAATGATGTAATGAAATTGTTGCCAGCTGCCGACCAGCTAAAGAGTTGGTTGGTGTTTCAGTTAAAAGTACCTGTTAAGATTGACCTAAAATGCATTGTCGTATAAATATTCATGATATGCATCATATATGCAAACTTGAATTCAAATTTTTTAAAGTATGCTCTAAATCAACACAATTGGTAGATCAGTAAATTATTCATTAGGGTTTTTCCAATATGCTCGGTGTGTAGTGTTGTTTTCTTCGTACACACGTGAAGCCAAGGCAACAAACCATTGATAAAACCAGGCAATTGCCCCCCCCCTGTTTTAAACTTTGTTGCACTCAGGGCATTCAAAGATAATTTTGAGATGAATTAACTACACAGATTATGAGCTGGAGTACATTGCACTACAATAAATGAAAGATGGAAATCTTAAAATCAAACTCTTCTTTCAACTTCATAGTTTTTCGTTTTGCATATTTCATGCTCTGTACTTTATGTATATTTTAGGTATATTGATGATTGCAGGCTCTCCTAAGCTGAGTTAAAAAGTTTCGCAAGAATACTACTTTCTAAAAGTAACTGCTACTTACTTCAAGTTACCAGAGTTGCAAGTAGCTACTGACCTTCCTCCAAACCAGCAATTTGTGGCTTCAACCCAAAGCATCCTCACACAATACCAAATTACTGAAAATTACCTCATCAGAGTATTGTGCCATTTGTGATTACGTCGAGAATTTGACAAAATTTTAATTGTTTTAAATATTAGTTGTGATTTATTTTCATTGATTGAAAAAACAAAAGCAGATATAGAGTCATGTTAAATTTGGTTTTTGTCAAAAAAGTCACTTTACATTTTGCCAAAACCTTCCTTCAACAAGTTTGTAGGTTTGTTGGGCTTATGCATCGCTATAAGCTACTATCGTATAATCCCGTTATAACGTACTTTCGGTATAACCAGTAGAGGTGGGGCCATATAGTTTTCTCTATATTGTATAAAAAATGAAATTTGTTTCCGTTTGCATGGATTCTCAATTTATTTACCTTTCCATATTTTCTATGGTTAAATCACCTTCTAACGTCTACCTGCTACTTGAGTAGAAAAATCTTAAAAATGGAATTCAAAGTAATAAAATTTTGCCAGCATTCATTGAGTCTTCAGTTATCAAGAGGACTATTGAGGTAACACATGAATGCAAATGTCAAAAATTAATATTGGTTCAATCAAAGATTCGATTCTACTTTTTTGCTGCGAAATTTCTCGCTTTGTAAAATAAACCAATCAGAACAGCATTTGAAGACAGCTGACTTCTGTTTTGGTTGCAGATGGCCTCGTCTTTCCGAATTCTTTCCAAAGTGGTTCCTTAATTGGTTTTTGTCTCCAACAGACCTAGTTACCATGTCAACCATCAAATCCATTACTAAAACGGGGGTCGTATAAAATATCTTCGTCAATGAAACGCAATGGTTGGGACGTGATTTTAAACGCATCAAGTCGCAGCAAGCAAAATGAAATCTAGCATATGTTTTCTGTTGTATTTTTTCGCAACTTCCTTGCAAGATGCCGATGGATATTGCTATGGTTCCACAAAGTATGCAACGACATCCTTGCTAACACTTTCAAGGTTGTATTATTCAAACAACGAGTACTGTACCTTCTACATCCAACCATCGGCCTATTACTCCTCTTCCTCTTACTATTTGGAAATCAAGTGGATATCATTCAACGTGGAAGGGAACTTGCCAACCTGCGAAGACTATGTAGAAGTTTATCTTACGAGGTATGGGCCTAATACTTTGCAGCTTTGTTGATTTTCTACATCTTGGCAGACAATTGCAAACATTTCATATCGCTGCAATCTTTGCCTATAACTTCCTTATAAATACAAAACATTCCTTCCCCCTCCTTTCCACAGAGGCACGATGAATGATACTTTGTCAAGTTAGTCAATCATTCAGGTTCCTGTGTTGCTGATTAAAGTACCTAGGAATAGTCTTCTGCAAGGCCGCCGAGAGGTTTCGGAGGCCCTGGGGAAATACCGAAACACGACGCCCCCTTGCGAGCGAAATGAGCAGAAATTTTTTGTGACCACACCCTTTATGGCAGCTTTAATTCATTGATTCGCTTAAGATATTGTTACTGTTTTTAGGCAAAATTTTGCTACTTTCAATTGATTCCATTTTACATCGGAACTCATTACTTTATGAGGTCCCCTGCCCTCGAAGTATTGGTCAGTGAAATTCGTTCCCTTAAGGTATTTGGGGGGGGGGGGTGAGCAGTGGGTCAACTAGAGGTCTTAAATGATGACCTCACAAGAATCTGTATAACAACGAAATACCTCTAAAATTTCAACAACAGCTAAATGTGCGGCAACCAAGCAAAAATAACAGCAATCTTTTATCCAGCTTCAAATATTTTGCATTTTAGAGGAATTTTATGTTCTCTGTAAGTCAAAGACAAAAATTAAAAAAAACGAAACATTTTATGTGTCCAAACATGGAACACTATTATACTGGGACCGTTTTACATGCGTGGATAAAGCGAGTTATAACTAGTGGCAGTATAAAATAATAGAACTAGTGGGATATCACGCTCCACATCAGACGGCGGTGGACTCGCTGACTTTGCGAAGAAAATTACTTTAGATAGATTTTGGTCCGTTAAAATGTGGGAGAAGAGTTTGTGGACTTTAGGATGAGAAAGTATAATGGCCTTTGTTCAATGTTTGGAAAATCGAATATTCCTGTTTTCATCTTATCCCTATCAAGGGGGAGGGGGCGTGTTAAAAAACTAACAGCAAGCCACATGGCCTAGATTTGCCAAGCGCTAGGCAAAACAGCTTGGCCCGTCTTAATATCGAGTTGTCAGGTAGCATTGTTATACCAACAGGTTATATACAGCTTTGTTGTTTTGTTGCTATCAGGTTTATACAAGAACTTCAGGGAGTTTGAGTTGCTACGCACTGAATGGATTTGTATTCAAAATAAAAGCGCTTAGTGAAAAGGCAAAAGAAAAAGGTCAATGCTATGAAAGGAACTGAGAGCCTTTGTGAAAAAGATCCCAAAAATTACAAGTAAAAGAAAAGGGCTATTTTTGGCATTAACCAGAGAGGCTCAGCTTCCTGAGCCCCGTAGCTCTGCATCATTTGGTAGAGGGAAGACAAATAATCTACAATGCCAAGCCAATGTTGCCAGGGTTGCAGAAAGGGGTGCCACATTAGATTGGGAGGTCCTGGGGTAAATTCTACAAGACAAGAGTCTTTTTGAAACCTAATTGATAGATTTGATAATTGATAGCTACTGCTAAAAACTGTATTTGCAGAGATTATTTTCAATAACTAGTTGTTCTCGTTGAGGAAATCATATCATATGGTTCCCAGTAGTCTATAGGCTGATGTTCCGCTTACTTAAGAAAATGCCAGTTACCAGTTTGCCGACAAAATTGAGCGTGGCCCAAAATAGGTCACTATTTGGGCGTGGCATTTTGACAAAGTTCATTTAGAGAAATCTATTTTGCCAATTACCACCAAAAAGAAAACTATATCAAACTCATTGCGACAGAAAAATTTCAACATAAAATCAAACAATTTTATATTATCAAAACAACGCTGAAAGTGGTTTGATGTGACCAGTTGTATTCAATAAGTTTGGTGCAAGGCTGACAGTTGGCTAGGAAGGTACGCTGCCATTACCTTTGCATTTTTGGAATTCACAATTTATAAATTTAACGAGTTAGCTGTTCTCGGGCATCGAAAAATGCCTTAATTTTTACGGGCCTAGGGGTTTGTTGCCTCGGCTACGCCCTTTGTCGGCGCTCTTATAAAATGGACCTTCAATGGAATAACTTGACTTCTGAAAATTGCCCTAATCGGTTGACAAAACCATTAAAAGACATCTACAAGTCATTACAAAGTCATTACATTACAGGTCCCAGTCTCAATTTACAAAGTAGACAAGAAATGTTTATACATATTCTGGCAATAAGGAAGATTTTGGATAATATTGGTGCATTCGGTGCATTCTTTCCTTTACTTGGTGATTTTTGAACATACAAACTTATTAATTTTGTTTATCTGGGAAATTTCAGCTCATACAAAAGCATTGGGAAGTATTGCTCTGATAATATGGTCGACACAAAGCCATTCAATATGTATTCCCATGATGGATACGCAAAGATCGTCTTTAAATCAGACAGCGCAAGAACACGGTCCGGGTTTTCATTGACATACCAGTTAAAAAGCAAATCAGGATCACCGATGGGTGGATACCCAAGCAGCACATGCTAGTAAGTTTGAATTGTATTTTAGTCTTTCTATTGTCGTCTTTCCTAGATTTTCATCATTTCCAATCTTTCACAAGCCAATGAGGCAAATGTCGAAAACCTTCTTAATGAAAATAGGGGTAGTTTGGGTGCCTAAAGGCGTGGCTGGTAGAAAAAAGCATATGAATTTGAGACCAACGGAATTTTTTGGAGTAGGGGAGGTTGAGGGATGTTGTGACTGGGCAAGTTGTCACAGCCTTGTTTTGTCAATAAAGCTGCTTGTTTTTTGTCATTTTAAAAAAAAACAAATGTTAAATATCAATCAAATATCAATGAAATTGACAAATAGCGATCAAATTACCATCTGTTTTCTTGCCAAAAAGAGGCTGCCCCAGTGACAACATGCCTAAACCTCCCCCAGTAAGAAACAAATAATAATGGCCTTTTGGCTATCAAATGACCAAATAATTTGCGTGCTGAATTGATTTTTCATTTCAAATGCCTTCTATATATTACGCGACGATTCACATTACGCGATGATTCACAAAATTAGATATATGTCATAAACGAGAACAAATTATTAAAAAACTTTCAATTTTTTAGCTTTCTACTTTTGCATACATAAACGGATAATACTTTTATTTGGAATCAGTCCGTACTTAGCACTGAAAAGTCACAGGGTTTCATTGTTTATGTCATTCCCATTTAAAACCTTTGACCTATTCAATTGTTTAAAGACAATTGACATAAATAAAGTGGTTTAAAGGCAGTCTGTCCCCTATTGTGCTCAACTTATTTTCACGGGAGTGAAATTCACGCACCGTTGAGCTTGATCGATAATTAAACGATTTAAACCAATCAGAGACAACTTTGATTCCAGAGCTTTCGAATCAAATGGCTGTGTTTCCGTTGTAGTGAAGCTGTGGCTAGAAAAATTTGGTTCCCTGTTTGGTTTCTGCGACAGATAAGTCAACAGGGAAAATAAATTCTTCCATTATCATCATTCCATTGTAGTAATTGAATCTTCTTGCCACTTCCAATAGCCTTTTTGCTCGCAGTTTCAAATGTCATCTACTGCCGCAGCTAGGCCAGCCAAAGCGAGCAGCGTAATCCGTTAAGGCAGGATAAGCTATTGTTCACAATAGCCAATCATTGAGGGGACAGACAGCCATCTGTCAATCAATATTAGCCAATCAGTGAGCATGTAAGTTGTATCATGCCAACTGATTAGCCAATTTTAGATCGGCAGATGGCTGAAGCCATTTTAGTATCTATCGCTTGCCTTAGCGCGGTCAGAGATGTCAGCTCTAATATTTCTTAACTTTATACACATTTATCAAAACAACTAAACTTTTTAAGTGTTGAGTATGGAGGTGGAGTAATATAAGCTTATTAGAATAGAATATCGAATTATCTATTATTAAGCTTGCTAAAAAAGAATAAACCTTGGCTAAGCAAGAATTGGCCGGAAGCGAAGTGTGTATGCAACTTTGTGTGAGGCAAGGCAAGACTCCATTCGAGCCAGAAGCACCATGCTCATGTTAATGAGGCTGAGCCTTAATTATGTATCTGTTCCCATAGTTACAGCGATTCCTCTGCAGCAGCAACATTCTACTCTTCTGGTTGGCCCAACAGTTACTACGAGAGCAGCACCCCGTGTTGGAGGCGCTATTACGCCGGTAATAATCCGGTACGCGTTGCTGTGATGGACGTTTCATTATACAGAACATCGTCTGTCTACTGTTACACAACTGATTCCTATTTTGAAGTGAAAGGTACAGTTTTGCAGAACTTTTAAACCTATCTGGATCCATAGGCAAATTTATATGTTTTTAAAGAGGTTTTATAGAGGCCATGCTGAAAACATATTTCATGCTTGAGTATAATGAAGAGCGGACATTCAAGTTTCATAAAGCGAGAGAAAAGCTTTCTTGTTAGAAATAAAAAGAAATAATGAAAGGGGCGATACCATTGCTTTAATACTAGAAGAAATGGATAAGGATTTGGGCTTCTAAGAAGATAAGGGTGTTTGAGATCGAAAGTAAATTTCTAAGACTCACCTTTTATGTGATATCTCAGGGCTGTGCTTTTCTTAGAATTGATAACAGGTCTTGCTATTGGTTCTGCCACTGGAGTTCACACTTTCATGAAAAAATTTGGCGGCTATTAGAGGCGATGGGGCAATTGGGGAATGAGAGAATAGGGAAATTGGGGAATATCGAAACCAATAAGCCAATTTACCAGTTCTACACATTGCTCGAAAGGTCTATGCGTAAATATCTAAGAAGAAAATCGAGGCACATCAAAGCATAACAGTTTATTAAGCTAGATTATAAAGAAAAACGAAAACGCCAGCCAAAAAAAATGGAATCTGGCATGCATACATTACTACCGTCTTCCCAACTCATTAAATCGACAGCGTGGCACATTTTGAACCATTTAAGCTACAACTCATCCATGAAATTCCTGGTTTTTCAGTTTAATTCAAATTCATCAAAATTATACATCATTAAAACAATCGTAAGGTGATTCAATTTTCGCACCAACAGACAAATAGGGTTTTGTAGGACATTGTCTTTCTCTCCCTTTTGTTCTTATATTCTCCCTTCCATAGTCTTGCGTTGATTGCTTCTATCACGTACGATCAAGTCACATGGTTTACGATCCGCTTAAGTAAATTGTTGCTCTTTATTACTGTATTGAAGATGAATTTAGCTAAAAGTCGAAACGTTTAATTGATTTATATCTATTGATTATGTCAAACTGATTTTGTAAAACCTGGAATGACCCACAGAAAATTCGATTAGTAAGATTGAAATAAAATTTCAAATCAAGAAAGTGCCTCTCTTTGTTGCCGCACTGGCTATCCCCTTTTTTCGCCAACTATTCGAGGCAGCAACTTGAGTGAGTATTTTGGGCCTACTATTCGAGGCAGCAACTTGAGTGAGTAATCGATGTTGATCCGGCACAGTTTTTTCTTAATAATAAGATACCTTAAATTATTGTCCACATTTTTTCAAAAAAATATGTGATACAATTGACTATGTAAGTACTCCGTCAGACAATTTTTGTAGATTTTTCTGTGTAGATTTTGTAAGTATTTCATTTAAAAACTTATTAAGTCATCTTTAATACTACGTTGATGCAAAAGAATTGATAAGGTCTTATTTGCAGTTCCAGCCACCCCTGCCCTAGTTAATTTTCATAAAAGCAATTATTGTATTTCTGTTTTCAGCATCTTCATCGATGTATTCTTCGTCTTCATACATCAGCTTATATGCCACTTCCGTCAGCGAAAAGATCTGCGGGACAAAGTCGCCAACTTTGTATACGGCCAGGAAAAGCTATGTCTACTTGTTATTTAACCGACCACGCAGATATTACAGCTATCGAGGAGTCATGGTTGGCTACATGGCGTACCGTAAGTTCATCTATCTCTTTATCAAAATAACGCCAGATTGGTTTTTGGAAAAAGGTACAGAAGATGTATTGCTTCTTCTTACCTTATGCACATCTCTTATGCTATATGACTTTTTAGGCACACTATATCTATGCATACCTTTTTCCAAACACACACAACAACATTCGAACAGCGCTTTACAAGCGGGCGCTCAGTCTCGGAACCCTTAAAAGACAAATTTCGTTTCTCATCCTTTATAGCTGGTGTTTCAGCCCACCTCTCAGATACATATTGATCTCCTTATACTCCAACTTTGAATTGGGAGAAATGAAGCTGGAAGAAATGGAGAAATGAGCTTTTCACTGTTCGACCCCACTCTTCCATTAAGCCTCTCGTACCTAGGGTATAGGAAACGTTTGGGAGAAAGATTGGGGAAAAGGTATGGTGAGGGTAGATAGAAGTCTATATATTGGTCGTTAGGCTCCTTCTTGTCCAAACTCTCTTATGACCGCACACCTGCTACATCTATAGTAGTCAAAATTTCCCTTTTCCTTTTCTGAAGCTATGTCGCATTTCTATGTTACCATGATTTACGGGATATCCCAATTGGGAAAACTTTTTACGCTCTATCTAATAAAAAGCAATCAAGACCTCTAGATCTCGAGGTTCTGGGGCAATTCGCCTAGGGTGAACCCTCCTCCTTTCTGTCTGGGAGGATGTATAATAGAATTTTGAGTAGTACGATAGCGACAGGAGAGTTGGTGTGTGACAACAGTTTCTTTAGATACAAACAAAAGGAACATCGAAATCACAACAAATGAGATTGGCTTTAAATTCTGAGATTAACTTGATTTACAAAATATATTCTAATTCAATGATAATTAATATTGATATTTCCTTCGCTAGGCGAATCATCATCTTCGTCGTCCTCCAGCGCAGGAGTCGCTATTGGTGCGGTGGTAGGCAGTATCATCGGGTTTCTTGTTATTGCAGCAATTGTCTATGCCTGTTACCGGGCTGGCCGCTCGAAAAGACCCTCGCCAGTGGCACAGACAAGTCAGCCTCAGGACAATGCAGTTGTTGTCGCTAATACTGCTACTAGCAACGTTGTTTTTCAGCAATCTCAGCCTGCTGTTATTTACCAAGGAGGTGCTTACCCAGCAGCAAGTATGCAACCTATTACCTACCAGATGCCACCGCCTCAATATGCAACTGGTATGAATCCGAGCGCCCAACAGATGCCACCGCCTCAGTATGTTACCGGTATGGATCCGAACTTCCCACAGATGCCACCGCCTCAATATGCATCTGGTATGAGCCCAACTGCCCAACAGATGCATCCTCCACAGTATGCAGCTGGCATCGATCCAAATGCTCAGCAGATGCCACCGCCTCAGCATGCATCTAGTATGAGCCCAACTGCCCAACAGATGCATCCTCCACAGTATGCAACTGGCATCGATCCAAATGCCCCACAGATGCCACCGCCTCAGCATGCATCTGGTATGAGCCCAGCTGCCCAACAGATGCATCCTCCTCAGTATGCAACTGGCATCGATCCGAACGCCAAACAGATGCCACAACCACAGCTCTAAAAGAATTCCCTCCAGAACGCCAACTCCAGACTGAAGATGCATACTCTGTTTATTCACCGCAAACAAAACCTATTCACGACTTTAGGGTAAATAACAGCCCACCTACACCTAAGACCTCCTCTGTACATTTTGTCATAGTTATTTATATCCATAGTGAGAACACGAAGCCTTTTAATCATTTGATGAAGTTTGAGGACTCACTATTTTAGTTATGTAAATCAATGAGAATTTTAGACACTTAAAGGCATTGAGTCATGATAAAATGGATTGGGTATACCCTAAGTGCCAAAATCCGCTGAGTCATGATTTTCATGAATGCCATGCTATTGGTTGACCTGGAACTGGTCACATGAACTCACCTCGTACTGATTGACAAAACAATTTCCATCAATAGCAAGTTGTCAACAACGGATGCAAGTATCGCATGAAACAGCAGCGATCACGCCGAATCCAAATGACCCCCTATAGAGAAGGCCTATTTACCATGACTCAATGCCTTTAAATACCACGTTTCCTTTAATATGAATTACGAATGCAAGCTAATTGAAGGTGGTTGCTTCATTTTCAATTGTTTCCAAATACCTTGTTTTTGATAATTCGCTCAAACTCAAACCATTGGCAAAATGTCATGGAGCCCAGCTATTCTTTAGTTAACCAGATCACTTTTCCATCTTGGTGTTGGGTTTCCTGCAAACATAGACGTAGAAACCAGGGGGGAAATGGAACACGTGCCTCCCCCACTTTTCAGAAACAGTGTTTAAGCATATATCTACAGCTTGCAAAGATGCCTCAATTTTGATTACAAGTGCCCCCCCCACTTCTGAAATGTTCAAAACTGACCTATCATTTTTAGGCATGCATTTGTTGTGTTTGCTTAATTCTATTGTCAAAATGGAATCTCTTATTTTATAGAGTCTTCTAGACCTCGAGACCTTTTGGCAATTTGCCCCCCTTGCCCTCTCTCTTGGTGGTCCTGCAGCCCATATGATTAAAAGTAAAAATTTCTAAGAATAGATTTTGGTGACGTCATCAGATAAGAACTCTTTAATGAATTGTGAACAAAACTCAAGCTTTTTTGTAAGTTTTCTTATGTTGTCCCATTCAAGAAATGTTTGTTTTCGGGTGGAAATTTCGGGTGGTCCTTGCATGGAAGTTTTATCCAATTGTTTTTAGAAGCTTTTCACGTGTAAATAGTTTTGCACGAGTAATAGTTACGTTGACCAAGAACGATCAATGTTTTGTCGTCCAGAATGACTGTCAACTTTTAAGATTGAATAAAAATTATAAGTAAATATGTAATGATGGACGCCAATTAACCAGTAATACCAAGAAACAATAAGGAATCCTAAGTAACATTTATCTTGGTAATATTAATTATAGTCACAGCATGTTAAAAAAGCCATGCCTTTTTCAATATATTTTTCTGGTTGGTTGTTACAAGAAAAAGGGTAGATTTCCTCATCATATCATCGAGGAAAGGAATAAGAATTCATAATTTACGTTCAAGTTCATTGAATTTTCGAGTGTTCATTGAAAAGAATTAGAAGAATGCATTGTCTTATCCTATGGTGAAAAGCCAGGGCTCTAAAACTTGAAGGAGCAAGTAATGGGAGAGAACTAAAATGATACACTGTCCCTGTAAAGAAAGAAATGTTACACCGTACTTATAATAGAAACTGAGTTCAAGTATGCAGAGTTTTACCATCTGATACAGAATAAAGAAAGAATACCGTAGAAAAACACGGAATGATTGATGCTAGATATCTTCTCAAGTCTCCTTTTTATTAGAGACCTTCGTTTGCCCTATTCGGAACAAAGAATAGAAATTTTATGTTTATGTGACAAGATTATTCCAAACTTTGGCTCCACGGTTATTTAATTGTTTTGTTTTTAGTTGTTCTCGGCTGAAGTATTTAATGCTATTTCTAGTTGTTTTATAAAGCAGTTTTCACACTTCCACTTGTTATATGATATTTCAGCATAAATATTGCAGGTCAAATGGGGTTCCATTTCTTGTTATTAATTCTAAATACCAGAGCCTACGCCACGAAGTTCAAGACGGAGGGGCTAAGTTCAATGAGTTGAACTTGAATTTTGTGCTTCAAAACAGGGCCTCTTTGGTATTATCTTTGCTTACCAAAAGTGGGAAGGAGGCATGGCCCTTTGCCCCCCCGGTTGCGTGGACCCTGAATACAACCTCTCACTATATTTGCACTTGCACTTGTGTTATACTCCACATACCCTGGTCTTTTCAGATTTTAAGAATTAGCTAGGGCTCTAATGACATCAATCATGCAGGTTGTGATACCAGCATGAAACTTCGTGCATTTACCAAGTTTGATGCGCTGAAAAAAGTCTGATCCCCACAAAATCTGCTCCAACTCCAATTTCCATAATTGGGTATTTGGATCCAGCACTCTTTCTGGGCTTAGTATTTGGTGCAGTGTTCATTACATGTGCGTAATTCAGACAATTTTATACTTAGTAAATCACGAAATTAACGAAAGGCAATATTCATATATAGTGCACATTGATGAAAATAAAGACAAATCTACGATATTCAAAGCAGCCAGGGACGGATTTACCGGGGGCTATGGGGGTGCGACACCCCTCTGTAGCTTTGTTTTCTTTGGTAAATTTTGCTTTGATTTGGTAACAATGCGATTTTTGATAGTCAAAAGTAATGAAATGATTCTAAAAGGTGCTTCTTTGAATCTTTTTTATCTTATAGTTAAGAAAAGGCGTTTCAATCCGTACTTGAAAGTAGAGGAACACAGGCTGAGACTTTGTTGCAGGCTCTTGGTAACTTGTGAAAATGTGTCTTTCCTATGAAACAGGTTTCATCTAGATATAATGGGTCCTAATGGGAGGAGTGCGGTGCTCTGCCAGAGCATGTGCCTATGATATAGCCTAGACACCAAGCTTGTCGAAAGTTTTGTTATCTTAAGTCCTTCTAAAAACATTTAATTCCTACTGCACTCCTACCCGGTGCGCTCTTACACCAGGCACTCTTACTTGGTGAATATCGAGCCACTTTCCCTAAATATGGTGTGAATTGTGGATATAATATTCCCTTCTGTTCAAGGGCCAGGCTTTCTTAGTGCGAGTGGTAGGGGGGTTTTTGACTTAATTCTGGGCAGGGGTCTTCCGCGAGCACATCCAAAGTGCTACCTTTGGCTAGACCAACTTCTACAAAAAGGATACCCTTAGCATAGTCTCATATTGAAGGCACCCTTGGCTAGATCAACATCCAAAAAATTCGTGTTAGCAGAAATCCACAAACTGTTGGTTTGCGCTCGGAACTGTCGAAGGTTGATTTGTTTCATTTATAAATTAATTATCAACAAAAGTGTGTTGTTGGAATGAAATGCATACTTTCAAAGGACCGTTTCCTAGACCAATATTGTCAAATATTGTATTCTTGGCTAGACCTTGGCATGACAAAAATTGCAAAAAGTGTAATCTTGGCTAGATCAATATTTCACGTTCGATTGACTTCCAAGAGGTAAACTCCATAGGCCATAGGGCAACTTGCATTCTATTGGTTACTTTAATGTTTACATTTGCATAAGATAACTCGGGTTCTTATTGGTTGGCGGAAACACTGCAGGGGCTAAATTCGGCCTTTGCTCGCGCTAAGACCCCGTTTACACTGTGCCGGAAAACATTTCTCTGCATAAAGCTTGTTCGGATTGATTTGCGTTTACACTGAGCCGTACAAATTTTGTCCACTTTGCCCTCCCTCTTACACTGTGCCGGATAACTGCAGTCACATGACCTAAATCATGCACAGAACGCCCAAAATGAAGTCTTCCCTGGGCAACAGAATAATAACAAAATATCCGTCAACGTAAAAAGACTTCATTCTCTCTTCAGAATCATCTGCTTCTCTTTTAGACCAAATCCAAAGATATTGTCAATACAAATTAGGCATATATAATTTGTTTTAATAGTTTGTTCATGAAACAAAATGACACTGAACTAGCAACGAAAGTAGGGAAAGCTGACAAGGATGCCAATTTTACGTGGACTGGCAAGATACTGCACTTTTAACACGAGTATTTATCGACAGCAAGGCAGCCAAGATGGCGAAAGGTCTTGATTGGAAGACAGTGAAAACTAAATTGGATGTGATAGCCAATCGCTTTCGAGCAAGATACGATGTGGATAAAATTTATCCGGATAAAAGAGTTTACACTGTACCACATAGCTATCCGAACTAATTTAATTCACCTTCCTAGGTGAACTAATTTTGTTCGGATAGCCGCTCTCAAATTCGTGCGGATAGCATGGGTCTGGTAAACGCGACGCCTATCTGAACTAATTTTGATGGGGATAAAATTTATCCGGCACAGTGTAAACGGGGTCTAAATCTGGAAGTACACGCTGATTGGCTTACAAAACGTTCGAACAGGTCGTAGACTCTTGGGAGAAAAACAAGCCTTTGGTTTCAGAAAATACAGACCAGATAAATACCTAGAATCGCCATGGCACATTGCTTTGCAGGAGCTGAAAGATAGTCAACAGATTACATGATATCGCGCAAGTTGTTAGTATCAAGGGGGGGGGGGGGGGGCAGATCTAAGACGGAGGTTGCCGAAGAATTTACGAAATATCTATCGATCAAAGAATTTTTTGTCTCCATTTTATGTTTTTATTTGCTCTAAAAATCTTACTTATGCTTCTGCAATGGTTGCTGTAGTCTGATCCCGCCCCTGCAAATGCTTTTCTTTGCCATCTATGTATTCAGTCAAAGCCATCGTTACGGGATGTGTGTGTGTGTGTGTGTGTGTGTTGTATGTATGTGTGTGTAAGGGGGTAGGGTGACATTTCATTGTAAAAACGAGAAGATTTTACCATTTTTCCCCTTCCTTTTTTTTAAGTCTCAAAATAGACTTTTCTGACCCCTGACACAAATCTACAATTCTAGCATTCAATTTTTACCGATAGTATCAAATATTCAAGAAGCTAAGGAAGGCAGTGATTTCTTCACAAAGGTCTCGAAACTGTTAATTGTCTTGTCTTCCAGGTGCAGGGATTTTGGGTAGCTTGCACCATAATCTTTGGGATGAAAGCAGCAAAGCTGTATATTTATTTACTCTACCCAGATTTTTGGTGTCATGTATAAAACAAGTTTGTGTTGGTTATGTCCTCAATTTTTAAAGCAAGAACAGTCACAGTCCTAACATACATCCCTGTCTTACCCCTATCTTGCAGCCGAACGTCTTGGTTGCGTCATGTACTTTTGTAATACAGCACATGAGTATTTCAATTGATCGCTTTTCAGTTTGTGACACAATAAGCTTTAGAATAGCCATGTCGAATATCTTCTGAAAATCTACAGTTTACACTGGTTTTTCCTCTACTAAAAGGACTCTTACAAGGGCTCTAGACCTACTCCTAAAATTCCTTCTAAAAATGGTTGTCACCATCCTCAACCGGGCCCTTTACGTCTCATGACAGACAAACCACCTCAGTATCACTTAATTTGATCCTTTTAGTAAAAGTGTTTTACTCAGCGCATTCTTGCAGAGTTAAAAAGTTGGAAATTGGAAGAAAGACTCTTTCACCTCAACTTCAGCTCCAGCTGCATTACATTATATTTGCAACACCTTTGAGGTTAACCTTGATGATGCACAAAAAAACGCAGTTACCATGTCAAATCGCAATACATGTATTTTATTGGTTGTCATTTCAAACATAAAAGTGACAAATTATCTTACACATGGCACCCTACACTCAACAAATCAAAATCACAGAATCGAAATTTATCGTGTTCTTGAGACTGTAGTTATCGCATGAGCCAAAATGAGTCAAGATTCATTTTTCTTCTGCAACTGTTTGCAATTTCATAGCGAAGTTGCCGATGGATTTCTCTGGTGCCACAATTATCTATACGATGGCCTACAACATCTTCAAGCAGTATTACCAGAACGGAGACAATACTGCACCTATCTACATCAGACCCTCCAAAATACTATTCTTTTCGACCAAATTTGTATTGGTATCAGTGCTTAGTTTCACGTGAAGGAAACATGCCAAGCTGCAAAGACTATGCAGAATTTATCTCACCTAAAGTATGATTTGATCTTTGAACATTGATTCTTGTTTCCTGAAAGAAATTCTCTGGCGTTTGCAGTTCCTTATTTGTTGCCTTAAATAAAAATGTTAGAAAGACAACTAAACTTTTGCTAGACGATGAAACTTTCATGCCAAGAATCCAGTGGCGTTTTTCAATTAGCAGGTACAGGTCCGGGGTGTATAGCCCCACATTTGCCAAAACAATGGCATTTTTAAAAAATGTTTTTTATAATTGATTAAATTTCCCTTGGCCGCTCAGCTTAATTTGAGTCATAAATTTCCAACCTGTGTCGGTGCCCATGGGTTTACATGTATAGAATTAATCCATCACTGTAAACTTTATAAAATGAATTGAGTTGAAAGACTGAATAATAACATCATATATATTCGAGCAGCAAAAATATAACACATACTTTCAAAATTTCTTGAAATAAACAATTAAGCGAAAGTCAATGATGGAAAAATGACCATTTCGTGGTGAAAACAGAATTTCAGTAAAAAAAGCAGTTCTATTTGTTACACTTTTCTTGATTCGCAGAGAGAAGGCAGACTTATTCAAATGAAGCGTTTCTTGATCTTGTCGGTGGAAGCCCATGTAATTCCTTTTTCTACTATTCCGCAATTTAACGTTATATTTCTTTTTTAATACATTTGAGTCCCGTGTGCCATCAAGTCAGGCAGTACAAATTCTCTAATTATGCTATTGCACTGCCATACCACGGTCTCTGGAGTATCACAGCACTTTTCATGTATGACCTCATTCATATGTCCTTTATAATAGTTTAAATAACCTTAACCAGAAGTTTCCACCCGAGATCAACATTTGGCCATTCGCAAATCTCTTTTGACATTAGCTGGAGAATTCACAAGAATTCCAAATTCCCCATTGTTCGGGATTACCTACTGATGAAGAATACCTTGATTACATTTATTGGATCCATGTTCTTATACAATAGTTGCAAGAATAATGTTTCTTTGTCACTAAAACAAGATTTTTCCTTCATCTTTGAACTGCAAACACACCTAGTGGATCACAGCCTTATGTAAAAGGATAAACCGTTCCTCTATGAACCCCGCACTCTCATATGAAACGCCGCTTGTATTGAAAGCCGATTTTCACCACATATTGTAATGAACGCCCTATCTATAACGCGCCCTCTTTACCCACAGCCGGCATCTTGAAAGCGGGTTCATTGAAAAACAGAATCCAAACAAAAAAAAAGAAATATTCAATCTATTCATATGTTATCACAATCCTACATTTCCATAACGTGATTTATCTTTTTGACTTTTGGGAACATTTCACCCAATCTTTACTGCATGTTCTTGAACAATAAATTGTTAAAGTCTTTATTATCATTTACAACTTTTCATTGCATGATTCAGTTATATATACTTCTTATACAAGTATTAACGCTCCATCTGATTAATTCCTTAACATTTCCATATCGTTGATAAATTGTGGACTTTGACAACATTTTCACAACAATCTTTATGCCATTCTTGGAATAAAATTGTTCAAGTCGTTATATCATTTTAACAAGTACTTTCATGCATTTGATCATTTAATACTTTTATACAATTAAACTAAACCCTCACATTCTGATTAACTTACCTTACATTTCCATTCGTTCATGATATTAATTTTTTCGACTTTAAAACATTTTCCACAATCTTTACTGCATGTTCTTGGACAAGTAAACATTGTCAAGTCTTTATTATATTTACAGTATCATTGCTGATTCGTTTATATACTTTATACAGTATTAACGCCTCCATCTGATTAACTCCTTAACATTCCATATCGTTGATAAAATTTTGTGGACTTGAAAACATTTTCACACAATCTTTATGCATGTTCTTGACAAGTAAAACATTGTTAAAGTCTGTTATTATCATTTTTACAGTACTTTCATTGGCATGATTCAGTTTATATACTTTTATACAGTATTAAACGCCTCCATCTGATTAACTTCCTTAACATTTCCATATCGTTGATATAAATTTTGTGGACTTTGAAACATTTTCACACAATCTTTACTGCATGTTCTTGGACAAGTAAACATTGTTCAAAGTCTGTTATTATCATTTTTACAGTACTTTCATTGGCATGATTCAGTTTATATACTTTTATACAGTATTAAACTAAACGCCTCCATCTGATTAACTTCCTTAACATTTCCATATCGTTGATATAAATTTTGTGGACTTTGAAACATTTTCACACAATCTTTACTGCATGTTCTTGGACAAGTAAACATTGTTCAAAGTCTGTTATTATCATTTTTACAGTACTTTCATTGGCATGATTCAGTTTATATACTTTTATACAGTATTAAACGCCTCCATCTGATTAACTTCCTTAACATTTCCATATCGTTGATATAAATTTTGTGGACTTTGAAACATTTTCACACAATCTTTACTGCATGTTCTTGGACAAGTAAACATTGTTTAAAGTCTGTTATTATCATTTTTACAGTACTTTCATTGTCATGATTCAGTTTATACACTTTTATACAGTATTAAACGCCTCCATCTGATTAACACCACCTTCTGATTACCGCCACCATCTATTGAACGCCGCACCCAAAAGTGGATTTTGCAATAAACTTTCTTTAGAGGAAATACGGAATGTCCTATTTAACAAAACAATTACAGGGGATTTAAGATAGTTCCAAGTGACCGGTTCTTGGTGGTTTCAGGGCAAATCCCTACTCTACCATTTTCTCGTTGAAATTTAGACGAAATACAGTGGGGACGGGGGAGCATGTCCCCGCAGTCCCCTAGTAGAGCTGCCATAGAGTAGTGAAGCAGCAACTTGATTACAATATACATCAAATTGTTCTCAGACAACATTTTCAATAATCAATCGGTGTTTGTTACTTTCAATGCAAAATATTACGCCAATTCTCTGAACTGCCTTTTTGAAAATGGCTTTGAAAAAAGCAAATATTTTACGACATACTAAAAGCTTTTCGTCTGACACTTCTCAGAGCATAAACCGTCAGAATAAGGTTCCGAAAGAACACGATGGAAAATATATACCCAGTTGTGGATCGAAAACTGCCTTTTTGCAATGCAATTCTTTCTAAAAAATTGAATGCTTCCAATTTTTTAACAAAGCTTACTGCTAACTCTCAACGGTTGACTAACGGGATATGATGCCTTTAAGCTGACATTTGATGCTATCAAAAATCTGGCTGATCACGTTGAACTATCAGCTCTTGATTTGGCGGCAACAATTTTTCCATTTTGCGCAGCTTCCAGAAAATTTTCTACACCCAATTACTTCTTCTAACGATTTGTAAATCAAGACATCAGTGCATCGCTTGAAACACTACTCAAATTGCTTCCTATAATCATTTGTATGACATACCATTGCTATCAATGACCAAGAGGGGTCAAAACAATTGCGTTTACAATTTCAGACAATATTGTTGTTCATGAGTCACAAGAAAGGAAGTTACTAATCTTTTCTTGAGTTAATTATAATTTTAATAGAACCACCTTGAAATTGAAAGGATATAGGAATTAATCTGCTTTTAAAGATTTTTGATACGTTCCTTATGGACAGTCTTGGAGAACGCAACACTAGACTTCTTTCGAGTCTGAATACATTGTTAAGAAAGCAAGATGGCGCCAGACATAGGACAGGTTCCTTTACCACAGTGCAAAATTTGACATGAACTGACGTTTGTTGAATCCACTGTTTGTAAAATTGAATAATCTTTTAATCAAAAGTCATAATAGTCACAATAATATTCACAAATATCATATCCTTTGTAGTTTTAACCTGCAAATATCAAGCAAGTTATTTAAAATGTATAAAAACAATGAAAGTGAAGGTATGGTCTATCTCTGGCAAATAATCTTCATCTGCTAATTGCTCCACACTGCCCATGATAAGGACGCAAGAATTTTTGACAAACATGCGGTCCCTCTACTCTCTACTTCCAGAAAAAATTGATTTATTTGATTGTCCGAAACAACAATTGGAAACAACAATTCGAATGGATGATGGATGATATTTGCTAAAAAATTTTTGATTCTGTTGTAGAACCCTGGCTAGGAAGATTATTCTTTCATGGGAGCGAGTTTTGAAATGCATGACATAAAATTTGATATCTGAATAGCTTGTCTGTTATATTGAAAAATCATCGAAGTGTGCTGCATGCCAATTCGAAACTTCAAACCCTTAATGCATTTTTAACATATTCTGGCATTAAAGAGGCATATTGATCAATATATTGCTGCATATAGGTCACCATCCCTTCTTTGCTGTAATTTGTATTCTGTTAAATTGCAGATCATACAGAAGCATTGGGAGATACTGCTCCGATAACATGGTCGACAAAGTGCCATTCACTATGTATTCCCATGACGGATACGCAAAGATCGTCTTCAAATCAGACAGCTCAATTACACGGTCAGGCTTTGTAGTGGCATACGAGTTAAAAAGCAAATCATTATCAAGGATGGGTGTTTACCCCAGTTCCATGTGCCAGTAAGTTTACAATATTCTTTTAGTCCATCTATTGTCAGTGATTCTACGTTCACACCACATATATCCTCTCTCAAGTCATTAAGCACAACTTTGAAAACCATCCTTGAATCTATAGAAATAAAATAAGGCATGGTATTGGTGCGTTAAAATGCTATTTTGCTGTGAATTACCTTTTTCGGTCGTTGGCTGTGTGAGAACCAGTATTTAGACCCGGCAGGTTTTACACCCTTCCGCAGATAGGGACATAGGAGTTAAGGGATGGCTCTACTTTTAAAAAACAATTTCTTCAAGGTCACCCAAAAAGTAAAGATTAGAGTCTAAGATCAGTTTTTATACGTGTGCTAGACCCACTTTCACAAATATAATTTTTTCTACCACATCTCGATAAGTCGTTCGATTAAATCAGTGATAGACAACCTACGTCATGCGGGCCAAATCCGGACAGACGGTAAACTTTTAGTGGTCCTTCTTCTCACAGGACTTAAAATTGAAAACTCAAAGAATAAAGAAAATTCACACAAATGATAGAATTGCAAAAATACTTTCTTTTTGATCGTTTTAGATGAAGTTGGCTATTGTTATAATTCTTTTGAAGGTTGTTGAAATTATAACAGAATGTCATTTTTAGCCAGTTCATGTATGATTTCAGCAATCAGCCCGTACTTAACACTGCAAAAGTCACAGGTTTCCATGTCTTCATTTAAGTTACTCCTTTTGTTATCATTTAAAAAATTGGTTACATCCTGCTTTTTACATTCATTCTTTATCATACAGATGAAATTTTAGCTAAAAATTCTTGATATTAGAAGGTTAAGAAATATAATCTTACTAGATAAGAATTAGAAATTTCCTAATGTCGTGCTATACAATGAAATTATCTTCGGCAAAGCCATTCAAACTTTTAGCTAATGGCACAGTTTGCATGCATTATACAACCTTAAATCGACACTAGTTTCCCTGTAATTGAATAGACTTTAATTTAAACTTTTTTAGCATTACCTGGAATTTATGAACATGCAAAATGACAAAGTTTGATTACAGATAGGGTAAAAACAACCAATATGCGGCCAAGGGCAGCCAAATTTTCCTGACAAACTTTTTTTAAAAATTACACCATGACAATACAACACAAGGTTTGCTTTCGATTAGAGTCGACTCGACAAGACTTCTATAAACCCTGGCTGATAATAAAGTACTGAAATGACGACGATTTCTACTTCTCTTACTGTTCAAATTTTTATCGTGAAACGGCAAAATCAACGGATAAAAGCTTAACTGGGACTCTGCATGCATGGGAACTGTACTGTGTTTCTGGCTCAACTTAATGTTTGTTTATTCTCTTCTTGTAGTAACACTGGCTCGTCTTCAGCAGCAATTTACTATTCCGCTGGTTGGCCGTCAGGTTACTTATCAAGTAGCACTCCATGTTGGAAAAAGCATTACTCCGGTAATTTTTCCTTGAGGGTTGCTGTTATGGATGTTTCATTGTACAGAAGATCTTCTTTCTACTGTTACTCAACTGATCCCCACTTTGAAGTAAAAGGTAAGCAATTGTATTCTAGCCTTCGTATTCGAAATGTATGGTTTTGGGCTTGCTTACAGACTTGTACACAGGATCAAGACATTGATACCCTTCGCTATCATCTGATTTTAAAGGCTCTAGCACTGGCACACTTGGCACATTTGACCTGTCAGTGATATCTGCCTTTTCCCTGGGTGCCAGAGCCTCAGAGAGTCAAAGGATGAGGCTCTGTCACCCATGGTAATCTGTCCCTTGTTTGTCCTGATACCACCTGGGTACAGAAGGACCTTTTAATTAATTCTTCATGACTATTTACCACAGCAAATTTATTCGTGAAAAATTTCAAATAAATAATCTGAAGAACTTTTCTTCGGATAAGATTTGAACACGGCACAAATTTGTCACGGCAGAATTTTAGTTCAAAACAAATTTATGTATCCTTTTCATCTAGTAAATGCAAATTACGTTATCAACTTCATTTAAGGCCCTCATAATCCTCCTCGCCGTCATTATCATCATCATCATCATCACAAATTTTGAAATCTGATGCCAGCAGCATTTCCAGACCAACTTTTTTTATTAGAGATAGCCTGCGAGCAGACTCCACTGTTCTCAGCTTTCAATTACTCGCAGCTAAACCGATCTTTGTACCTCTTTTTCAGCTTCTTCGATGAGCTACTCTTCGAACACATCGATCCATTCTTATGGCACTTCTGTTAGTGGCAGGATCTGCGGAACAAAGTCACCAACGTTTTACACCGCCAAGAAAAGCTATGTTTACTTCTACTACCACAGACCACTGTCTATGTTTACTTCGTCTTCTACCTATCGAGGAATCATGATAGGCTACATGGCGTACAGTAAGTTTCTTTTTCTTTTAATCAAACACATACCAACGTACTTAAACAGGACATGGCTACTTAAAAAAAGGCTTAACGACAGTTCAAGTTTACAGAAGAAACAATTTCCTAACTTTGGGAGTCTCCGTTCCCAAATACACAAGATGATTATTCTCTACCCACTGGAATTTTTTCCCGCTTTATGCAGAGGCGGATCCAGCGGAAAATCTGAGGGGTGCTTAAGGGCGTTGCCTTAATAGCCATAATAATGCCACACCCTACTTTTCTTTACGGTTAAATGAAGGCAACACCCATCTTGATAAATTAATCTTTTTTAAATTCAGGTATTAAAGCATAACTATATAGAAAATTATCTCTTTTGTAAGAAGCCTATTTTCTAGCAATGCTAGTTAAAAATAACACTGCTACCTTCGCAGTTTGTACATCACATTAATCAATGAATGACATTTTAGGTCGCTAGTCAATATTTGATTGCTCTGCAATATTCAGGCGCTGGTTCATTTTTGTAAAAAGGCAGCTAAAATGTTTCAAACAAAAAAAAGCAAAATGAATCATTGATACGTTAACTGACCATTACTATACGAAAATTGACTTAAATATTATCGAGTCGTGATTTTCATAACTAACCTCGTACTGATTGACAAAACAATTTCCATCAATAGGAAGTTGTCAACAATGGATGCAAGTATCGCATGAAACAGCAGCGATCACGCCGAATTCAAATGACCCCTATAGAGAAGGCCTTTTTACCATGACTCAATACTTGTAAGAATTTGTTGATAAAAATTGATTGTTTTACTAAGTACCTTGTTGAAGTAGTACGTTTTTAGGGTCATCTGCATTTGGCAAGAAATGGGTATCGAATTCTTTCTGGTAGTAATTACCATACCACCCCAACAACCAAAAATCCTTGGCACCACTTTTTTGGGGGTGCGCATTTTTCTCTGTAAAATTCGATATTTTTGTTGAATTAATCCAAGAAATATTCTGTTAAAACGTTGTGCATTTAAAGCCTGGTAAAGGAAACTACCAACCTGAAAGGCCGAAGGTCAGAACTTCCACGGGACAGTACTTGAACCTTTGGCATTTGCAGTTCAGCGAACTCATCGATCTGTGTATTTCCACAAGTCACGACACCATCCACCACGCTCTTATCAAAAACCTCTCTCACGATTGACTGAATACTCAAAAGCTCGTTTTCCGTTTCAATTTCTTCAGTCGACTGGCAACCAATAATCGAGAAGACCTACAACAGCAACGACTTTATGTCCGCCATTGCTGCTACACGAACAGGTTTAGTCGTTTCAGTGACGGTATGCACCAGTGTTTATTAAATGATTGATAGGGGTGCTCAGATGAGCCGAAATTTGGCAAACGGATTGGTTGAAGCCTTGTTTTGATTGATAGGGGTGCTCGACATTGCGGAAAAACATATCAGAGCGTGATGTGATTGGCTCAGTTGCAACTTTGACCTTAGAGGTTGATTGATAGGGCTCAAGCACCCGTAGAATTGAAGTAGCTCATTGGCCGAGAGTGTGGTTTGATGGACAAGTAAAAAAATTGGTTCCAGGGCAGCTCAACATGAAATTTCTAGCTATTTATAGTTTAAAGCAGATACAGGTTATGCTAACTAACGCATGACCGTATGTTACATTATGTTTACTGGAAAATGCATTTACATCATCTAAAAGGAGATTTTTTCAGAGATTAGAGATAATGCATTGAATGTTATATCTCCGAAAATTCTGACCGGTGCTCAAGCACCCATAGCACCCCCCTAGATCCGCCTCTGCTTTATGTAGCTAGATTCTACACTTGCTAGTTTGAACAGCAAACGGGCTGTACCGACAACCCACTGGGTAGAAAGAATGAATAGGTTTTCATCCTAGAGCCGTAGATCCTTTAAAGTCATGTTCTCGTATTTCTGTTAGGCCATTTCGATCCACCTCTAGGTATATATGTATATTTCCTAGCTTAGAGTTTTGAATCTATGTTCTGACGTTCTTTATTGTAACATACTTCAGAGGTAAAGATTAAGAATGTTTCAAAGTGTAGATAGGCTTCGAAAGAGCGAGACCAATAACTTTAAGACCCTTAAACTCGATTTATGCTAATAAAATGACATTTGATTTAAATGTTTAGGCTTATTTCATTCATAAGAATGTACTTTAATTCAAATTTCTTTTCTTCAGGTGAAAGGTCGTCCTCTCCTCCATTGGCCACTGCATCTTTTGCAGTTGTTATTTCTGCCGCCGTAGGAAGTGCTGTTGCTATATTGGTATGGCTGCAGTAGTCTTTGCCACAGACCCAGTCGATCGTTCTAGAACTCTTTTACCAATTGCACAAACATAAGGGCCACAAGCCAATTCATCTGTTGTTGGTTGCACTGCAATAAAATGAACCTTAGACGTTGAAACCACGAATTTTCTCATAACTTGTATACTTTAAGATAACTACAGAAATGCACGCTTCATTCTTGGTTGTATCATGTCATTTGTTATTCAATCCAGGGCGTCTTGTTCGATAACTAAAACACACCACCAAAGATACTCATAAATTCACACAAGTTCAAGTTCAAACCTATTCCCAAAACAGCGTTCTACAGCGTTAAAACTGAAATATAAAGCTCAGAGCCTCTAAGTTTACGAAGGCCTTTTTTAATGTTTTTTTCTGCTTCAATGTTTCACAAATATTTGTAACAGCGTCCCCATTGTTATCTACCCCATTATTGGATCATTTGTCTCAGCTAAATGTCTCAAGACTTTTTCGTCACGCCACTGGTTGCATTCTAAGGAATCGAACCTGAATATGTAAATATATATAGCACATGCATAAAGCACTTTTATTTTAATAGTTTTAGCACACATTTCGCTAGTAGATTTGCTTTTGGTAACCTTCACATATGAATGCATTCAAGTATACTTGAAGGACATCACCGGGAATCATGACACAACGAAAACGGATTTTGGAGAAATCAGATTTAGGCCATCTCTTTAAAATCTAAGCATGGCGCTCCTTAAGCTGCACAGCATCCCAGTTAAATTGTTTAAACTGAAGTAATGCTGCAACCCTTGCGATATTTTGTCCAGTAATGGACCATCATTTTCTATGCTGTACATATTTCAACTTATATAGTTCAAAATAAGAAAATTCCTTTCAAGAAAAAGTTAGCATTCAAGGTTGAAACTTTTTTTTCCTGTTTGAATCTCAAAATCTCTAGCACTGTAAATACTATTCTGGAGTTTGCAATCAAGACTCTTTTCCCTTTGAACAGTGAATCGTTTTAGTTGCTTCAAAGAAATATACTCTATCACTTAACTATTCAAATACTCATCATAACATAACTCATCCATTTGATGTAGCGTTATGTAAGAGGCTAAACAAATAGTAACTGTTTTTCAATTGTATTATCATGATGGAACCTACTTCGTTTTGAGTTCTTTTCGCTGAATTTGCGTGTATCATTTACCCTTTCCTGATAAAGAGCACACAGAAATGGATTTTCAGTTGTAATTGCCAAGTAATAAATTTAAATACCGATGTAGAGGTCGGTATCTTACACAATTCAGTTGTTGTTGCTGTTGCTTCATTTTTGAGACCTCTACAGAAGAACAATTTTGCTGAATCAGGTACAGGTTATAATTCAACCCTATTCAACAAGACCCACTGAAATTTGATTTTATTTATTTATAATCATGCTAAGTTGAAATATTGTTCTTAATTAACAGACAATCTGGAAACAGCACGTCCTATCGTTGGACAGAAAACAGCCTGCAGTGCTCAGAAAAATTTGTTTGAAATACTCAAGTGCAGTTTGAAATACGCCGGAACGAGCAAGCAGCAAGGGGGGCAGGCTTGAGAAAAAAGCCATTTGAATGATAATTCCCAGCTTCTACTAATTCCCTCATAACTGCCATTTTACTTCGATCTTCTTTAGGTATCTTAAACATTGGCCAAATCTTGGCATAAGGAACTATTTTACAAATTTTGAGAAATGTTCTCATGAATTAGGCACTGCAATAAGAACTGCACATGAATTTATCTGAATATTACAAATGGCCGGTTTCAAGGGTACTTTAATAAATAGGGCACTCTGGCCCCTCTTGCCCCTCCTATCAAAAGGTAACAGGAGTAGTTGACCCCCTGCCCTCTTCTCTGGCGTCCCTGCTAAAGTGCCCATTCATCTTTAACTTTTTACACAAAAGACCATATGGCGAACATTAAAAGTGTTTTACTGGACGGGGGTAAACAGTTTTCACAGAGATATTTTAATAAAATGAGACAGGACAAATTTTTTATAATCCAGTCTGAATGGGGGCGTCACACTTGAATGCTACAACTATGTTCAAATTGAGACCTGTATTAGCACGCGTAGAGCAAAATGAAGTCAACCATCATTTTTCTTTTGCCTTTTTTTGCAATTTCACTGCGAGATGCCAATGAAGTGAGGTATAAATCCATCAACTTTGCAGTAAGGTCACTGCAAACAATATCACTCTCAATGCAAGATTACAAACATGGTGAGAATTTCACCTACTTTATCGAACCTTGGAGTCCGTATCTACCATCCAGACACTATCTGGAAATCAAATGGACATCATTCAACGTTGAAGGGAACTTGCCAACCTGCAAAGACTATGTAGAAGTTTATCTCACCAGGTATGAGCTCAAAACTTCGATGCTATTTGAAGACGTCGGGAATACGACCAATAAAGGGTCAAAATGGAATGAAATCTATTTCAGTGCGTTTTTCAAAGTTCACCTTCTTCAAAACCTCCTACGAATCCTGGCACCGCGCATCAGTCTAAAAGTGGGGGGCTGAAAGGGGCCCGACCGACATTTGTTGAGGCAACACCCTCTAAAACGCCGGAAAACGCCCTTTTAATAAAATACTTGCTTATTCCTAGTGATATTTAAAAATAATGTGATTCAGAGAAGATATCGATAACTATCCAAAGTTGCGTGAAAGTAAACTTTCGAGAAAAATGTCTATCCTATTATTGCAGAAAAGTGGGAGGGGAAGGGGGGAGGGGGCTATGGCCCCTGATAGTGCAACGGCTGCGCGTGCCTGCATGAATCTAGAGTACAGTGCCCAAAGAGGCAGTATCAGGTAGGAACACCTGCTGATGTCAATGGAGTCTGCTTTGTCCTGCATGGGCAAAGAAGCACGTCAATAAAACAAATTTCCAAGTAGATTCGAATCTAAGGGGAAGGGCTTATTTATTTATGTATTCCAGTTCTAGGTAGGGTTTAAAAGAGAGGGGGAATAATAGAGAGGGGGAATATTTGAGAAGGGGGCTTATTAAAAATTTGAAGCAAAAATGTTTTAAAAATACCCTTGTCCAATTTTTGCCATAAAAACGCTCTCAATAAATTTTGCTAGCATCTTGGAAAGTTTAAATAATCAATTTATAAGGTCCTCAACTTCATCCACATCACCAGGATCAATTGATAAGCCTGAGACATCTTCGGAACAAAACTCGACTGACTTCTAAGGCGCACAAGTAAGTCTTTACATGGGCCATATTTAATGCCCCCTCTCTATTATGCCCCCACTTCAGCCTTTGATGACAAACAAAGAGAACATTAAGTAGGTCTCTTGACGGGTGTGATGATGATAAGATCGTGTGCATTTAAGTATTCATGAGTCTACAAAAGTCGAAATTCTATTTTTCCTTTGCGCTCAATTACATCTCCTTCGTAGTTTATTTAGATTTACTCTTGCACGCTCACGCAGGAAGGATTCCTTGCCTTGCAGACTTAATAGAAAAGACTTTGACACAGTGGCAGCTCGTGTATTGGGGCTAGTGGAGCTCAGCCCCACCAAAGTTTTCCAAAAAAGTTTTAGATTTATAAATGTAAACAAAAAGTTAACGCCCATTATTAATTTATCACTGTTCACTAATTTCGTTGTTTCGAGTCTCACCGTTTGTCCAATCTCTAGTTTGTTTAGGTCCAACTGCCCGCGGTTCTTTTGAAAACTAGACAAACACTCGTATCAGTAACCATCTCCCGAGCTTTTGGGGCTAGCCCCAAGCTAGTAGAGATACACCAATCAAATGCCTCTCATGACTTGACTATTCAATTGATGACTGCCTTCTAATTTGCCAATTCTGCTCGAATCTGCATTCCTTTGGGGGTAACTAGCCCCAAGTAATTCAATTCAACGGTAGGTGAATTTTTGTTGTTGTGATAGGCAAGATTGATCTTGAAGTAGAACGCAGCAGAGTTGCGTGTATTCGTTGACTTGCAATTTCAGCTTTAAAACTTTGAAATAAAACATACAATTTGGGTCTTTATATCAGAATTAATTTTGCCGATCCTGAAATAAGATCAAAATGGGAAGGCTAGGCCGTAGGCCTTCTTAAGGCATAAAGCATATTTCCAATGCAGGCTTTCAACTTGAACAATTTTAGTGTCACGGCATATGAAAATTAATCAATTAACAGTTTAAACTTGTTGGTCTTTGACAATTTTTCAATTGCCATGATATGCAATGCAAAGGATATCGTCTACGGGTTGGCCATATTCAAGTTGTCTATGTTTTTATGGACATCCCCCACGAACTCCCCTTTTTGTGAAGAGAGAAACGGTTCAGCGGACTTAAATAAATAAAGTCAAGCATACCAACATTTCACAGTCTATTACTTTAATTGTTACAAATTATACATAATCAATAGTGGCACTTGTTTTTTTTCAATCAAAACTTTCAAAATGATGACAGCTTTGCTAATTAGAGGTAGTAAAGAATGGAAAGGGAAAGGCTATTTATCATTCTTGGCGTTCCGTGTCTATGGCTTTAGATTTCGAATATTACGCCATCAGCCCCACCAAAAATTTACCCCACGAGCCGCCACTGCTTTAACAAATCTACTCATTTCCCCTCTTGTTGTCTCTGACCATTCAAATTATTAAATTTGTTTACCTGGGAAATTTCAGCTCATACAAAAGCATTGGGAAGTATTGCTCTGATAACATGGTCGACACAAAGCCGTTCAACATGTATTCCTATGATGGATACGCAAAGATCGTCTTTAAATCAAACAGTTCCAATACACGGTCCGGGTTTTCATTGACATACCAGTTAAAAAGCACCTCATCGTCGCATATGGGTTTTTACAGCAGTGCATGCCAGTAAGTTTTAATTTTTTTTTATTTTCTATCTATTATCAATCACAGTCTTATATATGGGAACTCAAATTGTTTTAAGCCATTGTTTTTTAAAAAAGGATTATTTTGTTCAACAAGCTTTTTTTAAATTCTCTACTGAAGTTTTGAATAATTATCTTAAACTAGAAACATTGTTCTTGTATGTAATTATAAAGGCTCTTTGGCGAATTCTTTTGATTTTATTTTTTGAATATCTAGCCTGAAACATCTAAATCAACGGCAATAGCTAAACAAGGATATAACAAATGTCTTGATCAACAGTTTTAGCTTATCCGGCTCCTTGCGAACTGAAATACGAACTATAGCATCAAGATTCTGACTGGCTGTTTTACAGAGCATCTGAAAATGTTTTTAGAACTTTATTTTGTATCATGATTTATGCCTAGTTTCTTCTCGTCACTTTCTACTACCCGGGTCTCGCCGAAATGTGTATACTAACTTTTTCTATGTTTGCACCCAATTGAATGGGGCGACATTTATAAAAGTTGAATCTCATTTCTGTTTTTTCCCTTTCTGTAATAACAGCGGTGCATCTCCAGCAGCAATCTTCTACTCTTCTGGTTGGCCCTCAGTTTACTTAGCAAGCAGCACCCCATGTTGGAGAACGCATTACGCCGGTAATAATCTGGTACGGGTTGCTGTGATGGACGTCTCATTGTACAGAACATCGTCCTCTAAATGTTACACAAATGATTCCTACTTTGAAATAAAAGGTACGGCTTTGTAGCATTTTCAAACCTAGAAGAGGTGTAGCTTATTTGTGTTGTGCCATGCTAAGCTGAATATTTCCCAACCAAATATTGAAAGTCTTAAGATCCATATTGAAAGGACCATCTTGACTGACAATGTGAGACTCATCTGTCAAATTATCAAAAATTATAGCGATTCCAAGCATCATTCATGGTTCTTTCATGGTAATCCTTATTCGCTTCTTTAAGAAAACTGCATCGTAATGCAGTTTGTTTACAAGGAGACTCGACCCAGATTGGATCCAAAAGTATTCGGATACATTTCTGTTCAGAAGTTCATACGGGATCAAATCTAAAAACATTTCCGTTTAAAACGGTTTTGAATTTAGATGAGATCCAAAGGCTTTGTGAAATCTCTTTCTTAACACTTGCGTAACAAGTGAGATTGAAACCGCCTGTTCAAACTGAACATGGAGGGTGGTAAGGACACGAAGAGAGAATTTCGTGGACTGAAGCAGAAGCTGTGCCATTTTGAAAATAGTTATTGATAGAAAAACTATAAAGCTTGCAATTTTTTTTAAAAGAACCAGTAAATCTAAGTTCAGGCTGACTGTTCATAATTTTTTCGAAAATCTGAGGCTGGATTGTTCTTAATTTCTTCGTAATCTAATATGGTGTTAGCAGTGCAAGTGCTAGCTTTTTCGCTCTGGGGAGGTAGTCAGGCCTCATTTGCCAACAAAGTGAATGAGACAGCCTTCATTTGCTGACAGGTTTGAATATTCACCGAAAAAGCACCCACACATCGCTAAAAATCCTTGATTTTGAGAAAAAACGTTGTTCAAAATTGCATTTTGCAGAAGATCAGCCTCAGCTTGTTTCTAATTTATTCTTAACTTTTGACCAATTTTGAGGCATGTGTTCTTATAAAAAAGAGTGTAGTGATTGTATTTTATGAAGCATATTATATAAATTATTTCTGCATAAGAAGATCATTGATCTCTTTTGTTATCAGTTTTGCTATTGGTCAAAACTCGTTTTCTTTCCGCGGAGTTGATACATGAAACAAACTCCATTCTGATATCAAGTTAGCTCTTTCCATCCAGTCATTTAAAGCCAAACTCAAAGCTCATAATTGAAAATATTCAAGGAAAGCTGGTTTTAATTTTTCTTCCTTTTATTCAAGTTCTTATTTGTAGGTATTTTGTATATTTGTAGGTTTAGACGATTATTGTGATCGGTTTTTTTTATTTTTAATTGCAGGGTATATTGTGAAACAGTTATTCAAACTGAATTGTAACCCTGGGTAAAGAATTTTAAAATAAAATAAATAGAATAAAAAAATTGTATTAAACGATCTGAACATTGTAATTCTTAAAATTTAAATGTCCTAAGATCACTCAATTTATAATAAGCTCTTACTTTTGCTTGAATTGAATTGAGTTGAATTGAATGTGTGGTTTATTGATTGTACGATTACTGGTGTGAGGGTGGCTAAGTCGTTTAGAGGCACTGACTACAGACCCAAGGGTTCGAGTTCCTGGTATAACCAAACTTCACTGATCTGTGCCAAACCCTCACCAAGAGTGAGGAGAGTCGCCAGCTCTGACAGGCGTAGGAATCACGAGGTGTGGTCACATCAAAAGGAAGGACTAGGACACTGCTCGATTAGCATAAGCTTGTCAGTGTCCTAAAAACTACCTTCGCATGCTAGGTAGAAACAAATACAAAATACAAATACAAATGCTCGATAGAATTCAACTTTATTTTTGGGACAATATAAATGGATCCGATCGTGGCCAGATAGAACCGTTTGCATGGGGAGTATAAAGCAGAGGACGATGATTGAAGATTCAAAAATGATGAGGGGAAGGGGTTGGGGAGTTTAACTGCAAGAAATTGAGATTCTTTGCTATCATTTGATTTTCAAGGCTTTTGTACCATAATACCACCTCTGGCAAGAAGAGGCCTTTAACTACTTCCCGTACTCACAACTAAAGCAATTATTATACCTCTGTTTTTAGCTTCTTCGTCAAACTACTCTTCAAATTCATCTATTTACTCTTATGGCACTTCTGTTAGTGGGAGGATCTGCGGAACAAAGTCACCAACATTTTACACCGCCAGGAAAAGCTATGTTTACTTGTACTACAACCGACCACGTTCGGATTCTGGCTATCGAGGAATCATGATCGGCTATATGGCGTACCGTAAGTTTCTTTTTCGTTTTATCAAGCAAAAGCTAACATACCAAAAATAAAAAAATGGGGTGCTCTTTTCTCGATTAGTTTCTCTATTGAGATAGCTCCTCCTTAAAAACTTCCCCTCCATACAATTTGCTATCAATTTACTAAAACAATTTATGGTAACTTTTTGTTTTTCATCTTTTGTAATCTTGTTATACAGTCTTTGTTCATTGTTGCATGCTAAATGATTTTTAGATGAAGTAGAATAGAATTTTAAAATTGAGGTAAATGGAAAAACTTCTAAAATGCAACATGACTACTTCAACGAGTTTACAGAAGAGAACATTTCACAACTGCGGAAGACTCCGTTTCCAACTCTAACAAATTTATAGGATCGTTGCATTTTTTTAGACCTGCCCACTTAGCCCGGTCCGACTCAAACCTGGCCCGGGTTGAATGGCTGACTCAAACCGAGCCTACTAAGTCCGGGCTGACTCAAACCAGGACCACTCAACCAAGGCCCACCCAACCTAGGCCCACTCGACCCAGGCCCACTCAACCTAGTCCCACTCAACCCTTGGATTAATCAGCCCACATTCAATCAACCCGGGTTCATTCAACCTAGGCCCAATCAACCCAGGCCCACTCAACCCGTGCTGATTCAAACCAGGCCCACTCAACCAAGGCCCACCCAACCTAGGCCCACTCGACCCAGGCCCACTCAACCTAGTCCCACTCAACCCTTGGATTAATCAGCCCACATTCAATCAACCCGGGTTCATTCAACCTAGGCCCAATCAACCCAGGCCCACTCAACCCGTGCTGATTCAAACCAGGCCCACTCAACCAAGGCCCACCCAACCTAGGCCCACTCGACCCAGGCCCACTCAACTTAGTCCCACTCAACCCTTGGATTAATCAGCCTGGTTTCAATAAACCCGGGTTCAATCAACCTAGGCCCAATCAACCCAAGCCCACTCAGCGCGGGCTGACTCAAACCAGGCCCACTCAACCAAGGCCCACCCAACCTAGGCCCACTCGACCCAGGCTCACTCAACCTAGTCCCACTCAACCCTTTGATTAATCAGCTTGGTTTCAATCAACCCGGGTTCAATCAACCTAGGCCCAATCAACCAAAGCCCACTCAACCAGCCCTGATGCATCATTGGCCCACTCAACCCAGGTCCACGCCTATTGACTAAATCACACTATTTCTCCGGTGGCTCCAATGACCCCTGGTAGTGGTAAGGATAAGGGTCCTTTTTGTTTTAGTCGCCAGCCTCAGAAGACAAACTAGAAGAAAAATGCATAGTTTCTTTTGAAAATTTTCTCTCATGTTAACAAAACAGAGCAGAAATTTTCGACTAATTCTACCTATTGTATCGCGTTCTAATAAAAAGTTTATACTTTTTAGTAGTAGAAAAATCAATTTTTAAATCAATATTGGCACCCCTATCCCCTCTCCCTGTGGGAGAATGCATAATAAGGTCTAGAGTACCAAGGTGGTTACAACGAGAAAAGGCTTGCAACTCGTATCATCGTTATGAATTAACTTTTGGTTTGCATAATAAGCATAAATATTATCAATTTTTATGATAATTATAATTATGATAATTATCATAATTATCATCAATTAGTATATATTACGATCCAGTCCTATTACGAATGCCCTTGGCTTCCAATATTTCGATTACACACAGCTGTGGCAAACACTACCTCACAGTATAAGAGAGTCCCAATGATAAGCATAATCTAAAAAAAGAATTAAGAGCATACCCTGTAGAATATGACTGTAGGTTATGTAAATTTATTTTGCTGGGTTTGGTTTTATTTAGAATATTATACCTTAAACATTGTTTCAACATTGTACCATATATTCATTTTATACTAATTCTTCATACATAGTTGGTCTTAATTAGCTTCTTAATAGCTATTAGACTTTCATCTAGTACGCCACTTTTAAACAAATTATTTATCCTTATTATTTTTATTACATATATTAAATATTTTATATATTGTTAATTCAAATTTCTTTCCTTCAGGTGAAAAATCGTCCTCTCCTCCATCCTGCATTGCATCTTTTTCAGTTGCTATTTCTGCGACCGTAGGCAGTGCTGTTGCTATATTGGTATGGCTGCAGTAGTCTTTGCCACAGACCCAGTCGATCGTTCTAGAACTCTTTTACCAATTGCACATACAAGTTGAGTTGTCGTTGTCGCTGCGACAAAGTGAATCTTTGATATTAAAGAACGTTTCTCAACATACAATATACATTTAACGTTAACTTCAAAGATACACGCTTCATTCTTGGTTTTATCAATTAGTGTTACACAATTCAGGGCACCTTGGTTCAATTAAAAAGGGCCCCGGTGGCATGGTGGCTCAAAATTGGCTTAGGGAGCACCAAAATTGGCGCTCTCTAGAGAGTTATGCTTACGGTAAGGAGCGTAGAATCGGGGTTTATCTTTTTTGATCTCGGTGTATGAAAAACTTTCTCTTTGGCTCAAGGGGGAGGGGGGGGGGGGCGCTTCAAAAAATCAACTGAAAAAAACTTTTCTAAAATGAAAAGTTTTATTGCGCTAAAAATAGCCGTCCTAAATATGTATATGTACACGCAGAGTATGAAAGGAACTAAAAGTTGGATCGTTTTGCACAAGAAACTGACAGCTACAAAGGAGTGTGCCAACACATAGACATTACTAAAGGAATTTGAATGCAAGGAAAGTGTTTGTTTTTGCTAAATCGATTCAAATTATTGTGTCAAATCTGCAAGGGAAAGGGGGCTATTGTAATGACTTTTCATACTTTCAAGAGAACAAGTGCTGTTATCATGGTCGTCTCAGGCGTTTTTATAGAAAATATCTCATATCACCAAGTAAAAAGATCTAAAAAAAATTATCATTTTTGGGGCTCTTATTTGAGGGAACGCTTACTTGGAGCTTTGCCTTATTCAAAGGTGCCTATTCGTAAGGGACGCTTGTTCGGGGGAGGGGGGAGCTTAATCAAGGAAATACAGTACATCATGTGTGACAATTATCCAGGTACGTCGACCAATGTCATGCCATCTTTTTTATCACGAAAGCCAATCGATGAAAAAATCAGTATCCGAGATCGCACATTTTTAAAAAATGATAAGTATTTGATTATTTCTTCCTATGACTGACACTATTTAAGGCCAGAATCCAATGATCTGCCGTTAGTGAAATTTTGAAATCATTTACTGATCTATCCAAGGACACATTTGAATCATGTACTTTGATTTGTCTCTTTTCCCACTTTGCCTTTTCTAAGTCTTTGTAAGCTGCTTGTACCCTCTGCGTCAAACTTTTCCCTTTCGTTGACTTTTCTGTGTCACAGACCAATCTCTACTTAGATCGCTTTTCAAATTATTTCCATAACGTTCTCGACCTCCCCCTTCACCTTAAAAAAGCTGCAACCCTTGCAAAAAGTCCTTGGAACACAATGTGGTCAAGGAAAGATTTTGATGAAATAAAAGTTTCTGGCCGTAAGATACAGAAATATCCTCCTACCCACTAAAACAAGGTTGATTGAGAAGCTTGTTACTCAAACTTGTTTAGAGCGTTACACTGGATGCAGGATGCCGTCCTAAAAATTTTGAAGGAAGGCCGAGTTGAAGGCAAATTCAAGAGGCTACATCCATGAACGAGCCTTCACCATATCCAATTTACTTACATTCTGTTAAAAACTCTCTGTTGTGTGTAGGAATCATTCTAACTAATCAGTGCCACAAATAGACTGATGAAAAACTGCAGAATTCGTCCAACCAAATATGAACTTACTTGTTAAGAGGGATTGAGCCCTCCCAAAATTCTCTCTGAATTTAAACAAAGGGGGCTGAGCCCCCTGAGCTCTCCCTCTAGGGCACCACTGATGAATTTTCAGCTTTGTGACTGTTGCTATTCAACATTGATTCAAGGGGGGAGATGCTATTGAACTTATGCGGAATTTTGGCGGAGTGTACCAAGACACTTGGGAAGGATTGTGCGTCAAAAAGTTTCTTGCCTTTTGAAAACAAACTGCGAAGCGAAATGTTCTACAAGCGTTTCAAATTTTATTTCCTAAGTGAAAAAGAAGACCTTACCAAACAGCCTTTAAAGATTGTAATTTGACAGTTATTTGAACGAATATAAATTAAATATGAAGATTTGCTACATATTCTTATTTGAAAAATCATTTATCAAATTATCATTATACGACAACCTTGAATCTTGGAGTGCTAGTAAGCAAGTTTTAGAAAACAAGACTTCCTTTTATTTAAAATATTTTCAAACATTAATTGCAAACAGAGCCAAATTGAAAAAAACAGTCCTTGTCTTTATCTCCTTTACCAAGTGTTAACCTATAACCAAGGGCCAGAGTGCAACTCCAGATAGTTTATTGTTAACAGCATTTATCGTAAATATAAAACAGAACGAGAAAAAAATCCAGTGTCCATCCTTGAGGAGCATCACGTAGTATGCTTTTATTTCAAGATGAAAGTGTACCAAGAATTGCTTTTTATGGATTTTGAGCATTATTTTACATAACATAATTCGTAATCTATCCAATGCTTCCGTTCGGACAGTTTTGTGCACCTATCACAAGAATTTGTGTAATCATAAGTCTTTGCCTCTTGTGTCATCATTGCCACTATTCCAACTATCAAGATAAATCTTAGAATATTGTTGGAGAGGGGAACCTCCCGCGGGCTTCAGTCTCCATTGTCTTGAGTGAACACTCTTAATTCACTTGTAAGATACCGTAATATGAAGATCATGCATTTGGCTTTCTAATACGAGTCGAGTACCAGGTTTGCATAAAATAATTTGTTATGAGTTCAAGAACTGTAAATTGCGAATAAAAACACGAGAGCGTTTTTGTTTTGACAAAAATCAATGCTAAGTAATATAGGCCAACCGTGCTCTAAATGGTACATATAATTCTAAAAATAATTCAACCAACAAAATGACTTACATTACAACAATTGCATCATCTTTGTGACCTTGATTTCGCCATAACTAAGTCATAGCTTAAAACAATATGCTTTGGACTCATTACCCTCAGAAATAAAAACCAACATGCTACAAACAAAGTTGCAACTCATTATCAATCGAGGTTGTCTTGACCAAATATACATTAACGTCATTTAAAAGAATAACAGCTGAATCTAGTTCAAGCGATCTCCACAAATTCATGCTCAGTTCGATAAATGACCTCACATATAGGATCCTGCCTGCGATGATTTGGAACCAGAGCACTTTTATTTTTGTTAGCATCTACAAGACGGCAATCTAGCTTTGAATTTTTTAAAGAGACATCTCTAGGAGCTTGCTAACAAGCAAAAATTCTAACATTAAAAAGATTTTGCAAAAATTCATTTTCCAAGTAAAGTTAATCGAAAGGCAATAATGCCAACGGCAAGTATTTTTAATGAAGGTAGAACCAAGATAATTTGAAAAATATATAAAATCTTTGAAATCAATGTAGAAATTTTCGTCAAGATGTAAAGTTTGACAATTTTACAAAGATTTGTCAAAACAGAAAATAAGAGTCAACAAAATCCCAGACTACACTTTTAAAGCATTGTCTTACTCGTCCCATCGAGTTCTGCAAAATAGGGTTGTGGAGAAATAAACTGGCTGGTACCATTCTTAGATTTGTTTTCAAAACCATTAAATGTTTACAAAACCATTCTAGCAAATTAGGATAACTACATTTGTAATGAGCAGAAAGGAAATATATTTTACTTCCACAACTAGCTAGCAAAAACGTGACTGCATTCTTATGGAATAGAAATCAATTTGTTTCTGCTAGCACAAGATTAACTACATTTCCGACTCTGCAGAAAAGAAACAGCCAAAATGAAATCTCAAAGCTGCTTTCTTTTCATTCCTATTTCTAAACCAAACTTACATAAACAGTACTCATTTACATTAAGTAATATTTTCTACAAGGGCAGTAGAATGGTAAATAACTTCTTAGGGGCTATCAATTATCTTTACTACGAACACTCTTGATAGAAAAAAAAAATGAATTGTAATTTACAGTGATCAGCAAATTTCTCGAGACATAAATAGATTACATAGATCAACTGCATCGTGCCGTTAGGCCGTTTTGCCGTTAAGATTTGAAGTGTGGCTCCTTGTTTTTAGCACACTCTTTCATCGTATATAAAGAGAGACAAGATCATTTTTAAAAACTAAGTTCAAGAAATCAGTGAAGGCATAATCTATAACATGATAACTACTAGCAATTGCATTTGAATTTGCATTTATAATTATAAATATCAACAATAGTTGTTAAAGTCAGGTTTTAGACCTCCCTTTTTAACAATAAATTTGATTATTTTATCTATCAGCTTAAATAACTAACTATTTTTTTTCTAATCAAGTATGACTACGATATTTCTCAATGTTTACAGTATGATACTGAAAATAGCAAAATTTCTTGAAAATAAAAGATTTTTAGGAAATTAAGAAATATAAAGTCTGTTTATAATTTTCGACATTGTGTCCCACCAGGCAATCGCTCATGCTTACAATAAGCCCTACGGCGCATTTATTACGGAGAAATCGCTGAGAATTTGTCCCGCTTTGTTGTCTCGATATGAAACATATCCTATTGTTTTAATGCAGCCAATGACATAGTGCCGTTATAGCATGCTATACTTATAAGAATTTACATTTCAATCAGATTTAATCTTATATATAGCACGAGGTTTATTCTTCGTAAGAAGAGACCCAGAAAATGCCCTTGATCTTCTGCATCACTTCTGCTTATTCGTTTGAAAGGTTCAGTGGTGCCTTTTGATATGCCATCTCAAGTGTGACGAGGTAATAAAAAACCTGTCACATTGGTCGCAAGAGAATGGTTTTTGTCCCGTGTGAATTCTCTCATGGGCCTGTAATGTTCCATACTGAGTGAACCCTTTGGCACAATACGAGCATTTGAAAGGTCGCTCACCTGAAGGAAAAACGAGACTACATTAAGATGCTGGAAAAAAGGCAGGACTTGGGTTGTTGTTAAGATCTAATGCTAACCAATCACTTCTAAAGATTTATTTGGTGTTAACTTTCTACAGTCCCAAACTATTTATGATTAAATTGTTTTTTGTTGATTGTGCTGCACTACAGAATGATAGAAGTATATAATGCGTAAAAGACAATAAAGGATGACTAAATGAAAAAAGAGACAAACATTATGGTTGTAAATGGGAAATAACTTTTGTCAAACGAGCTCTTAGCACACACAAAATGTAGATGGTATGGAAAAGTGGGAGCATCTTATTTTGGAAAGTTTGATAAACGTCAGATTATGGCCTAAAGTGAGCAGAAATTCGTTTACCTGTATGCTTGAATGTGTGTGTCTGCAGGTTGCGGTATTGCGTGAAGGATTTTGCGCAGTACTTGCACTTGTAAGGTTTGTCATTTGAATGAATCAACTTGTGTCTTTGGAGATGGCCATATCTTATGAAGGCTGACGAGCATTCATCGCACTTAAAAGGCTTTTCTCCTGTGAAACAAATCAACATGTAGTTATGAAGGCTGGTTACGTTTCAGGCTGGTTTAGCCAGAATAGAGATGGAATCGCTAACTTTTCCTTAATCTTTAATAGCAAATTAAAATCGGTAAACTTCAAGATTCCATTGATAATTGACAAGAAAACTGGCAAGTATTTGATCAATTACGCAATGCTAATGAATCTAGCCACCAGACAAGTAATCGATATAAAGAAGCTATGGTTTATGTGCAGATTTCATCACCATCGTTTATTTTGTGTTTTTGGTGTAACATGATGTCCATAAGAAGTCTATCAAAATTACATTATCAATTTACAATAAGTATAAAATTTCCAGACGGTACCTTTGTGCATGTAGATGTGTGCTTGCAACTCATCTCTGCGTGTGAAAGCTTTTGGGCAATCTTCACATTTATACGGCTTTTCTCCTAAATAATAAACGAATCAATTAAAACCTCTTGCAAAAGATCATCAATAAGAAGTTAATGACGTGCTATGCCTCCCAAGACCTTTGCAGTTTAAACCAGAGTACTTTTCATTATATTCAATTTTGTTTTAGGTCGCTATTTTATCAGTCGCTATTTTATCATAATTTCGAATGCTAGATTATTTGTCTTTGCCAGAGATATGAATTTGGGTCGATTCGAGTCGAGGCCCGTGGCCAAGAATTTGCATCCTTTGAGCATGCCCAGTAAGGGTTATCTGAGCAGCGGCAAACACAAAATCAGGAGTTAGAATCAGATCTGAAATCAAATGCTATTTTAGTTTCTGAAACAATGAAAAAGCGAATCAAAATAGTCTTTATGAAGAAGAGGAGAGGAAGAATGTTTTCAAAGTCAATTCATCGAAGATGGTAGCTTGATCATTTAATTAGGCCCATCGTTTTGCTATCAGTTCAAAATGAATTAGAAACGGAAAATCGAGAGAATTTTTTAGCAATATTTTGCAAATATTTCAAAACTTGAATAAAAGAGCCCGTCTGTTGCTCTAACTTTGCTAATAATAAATAAAACTTTAGCATTCTAAAATTTCCCCAAGTTCTTTAGAATGATAAATAATGGCTTCAAAACTAAAGGACAATTTATTCGTTAACTTTCCACTAAGCTTTTACTTGAATATAGGCCTGTCACTGTGTAGAAAAGACGTTGGTGACTAATTGGTGACATACTGGCATTTTGTCAAAACTTTAACCTTCATCAAGGATTGTTATGTTTTTACAGTAGGATTCTTGCAGATTTACACTACTCATTTCCTTGACCTTTTACACCTGATTGCAAATATTATTTTGTGGTTAGCATGTAAGGTAATCGCTATGCACTAATTAACGATATACCGCTTTCATCGTTGTTATACTTGGCTGACGTGGAGGAATTGGAGCTAATAGCAGCGATATTCAAGTATATCTGCGTATTGATGAACACAAAGGTAAGAGTTAAAACGGTTTATGATTCGTTACCTGTATGAATTCTCAGATGCATCTTCAAAGCCCTCGAGGTTGTAAATGCAAAACTACACTCCGTACATTTGAATGGCCGCTGACCAGTATGCATGCGAATGTGGGTTCGCAGTCCACTCATCCTGGTGAAGCTTTTTAGGCATAATCGACATTTAAACAATTTCCCTTCCTTCACAACCAAATCTTCTTCTTTCATTATCGGAGAATCGATCAATGAAGTGAGGCCCGCGGTTTTCTCCTTGTGGGACAGCATGTGCTTTTGGAAGTTTCCGAACCACGTGAAGCCTCGATCGCAGACTTCACATGTATAGGGCTTCGTCTTCATATGAATAAGCAAGTGTCTTTGCAGGTCACTCGGTCTGCTGAAGTACATATCACAGGACGTGCAAGAGAAGCGCTGGTCGCTTTCAGAATCAACGCAAGATTTGTTTGTTACTAAAGTATCCTTGTCGGACGGAATAGATGAAAAATCAATTTTCAATCGTTCTTTTCCTCGAGAAAGTAATAGCTTGTTGGAATGACAGAGGTGGAAGGCACCATTTTGGCAAAAATCACAATCTCGTTGTGACCCATCGGCTCTCAAACATTGAAAGCTTCTATCTCGTTTAATACCTACTGAGTGTCCTTTGTGCACATTCTCCTTAAATGAACTGACCTTTTTCTCACCTAAAAGTTGAAATGAAAAACAAATTTTTGAATGTCTTATTTTGCATTTGAGTACATAGATCCTAATGATAGAATTTTACAAATGAGACCCTGCTATTTTGCTACTAATCATCAATGAATTTATTAAAACTTTTCATTTGTTGTTATAAACTGAATCAATGCAATGGATAATATCTACCTTTATCACATTGACATCAAAGTGAAAAAGGAAAAAAACATCACAAGGTGTTTAACGTTATGAATAACAGGCACATCATGGTTCTATCCCCTACTGCCATCACAGCAAAAGAGCGTGTCATATTTTGGCGTTGTCTCCCAAGGCTGTAGAAAGTCAATGTTTATCTGAGCAGCGCCTGTAAGTGCTTTTTAACCTGAAAAATGTTAAGTGACTGAAAAATCTGTTTTCGCCCCTTGCAAAAGAAAAATTTCCAGAATAGCAGGAATATAATTTTTCGTTTATCTGACAAAGAACAAATTTCCTACAGGGCTACTCTAGGGGGACACACTCTTTCTACCCCTGCCGGTAATGGATCCTTGAGATTAAACAAATAATGTAAAGAAATCTTATCGATATTTCTTTACTTGCAAGGTTCATGCACCAGTCTAAAATTTCTTCGTTGTCTTGCAACAATGCCTCTAAATTCATAAATTGCAAGATTCATGCACCAGTCTAAAATTTCTTCGTTGTCTTGCAACCATGCCTCTAAATTCACAATCAATAATTGTTGTGATCAGTGTTCCAATTATTTCGATTATAGTAAAGATTATGTAATAAAGTCCTTGCAAAACTCGTTAAGAATCATTCTTTTTGAGATTGTCTAACTACTTTGGTTAATAAATCGCATTTTCTTGTGAAATTGTATGTGTGGTTACCTATCACTCTCTGAGGATCTAACTAATTTCAATACATTACAACTCTTTAAACAGCATGCTTTTAAGGTACGGGTGATTATGCTTTTCATATTTATCCTGCAACGGGATGATATCGGACACAATCAATGTCTAATAGGTAATTTTCCAACGGTAGATTCTCCGATATATGTCAAATTAACAAGTCCATATGGTCTTCAATTTCTTATGATGCAAAATTCGCATATTCCACCGTTTCACAGCCATTAAGGTGATATGACGTTTCCGCTGTACTTTTTTAATGACATAGAATTTTCCAGCAACCCACAACATTTTTTCTTTCGGTACGGAATGAGCAATTTATGCACTCCTACAGATTTCTATTTGCGCAGTATTTGTTTTTACTGAATTTTGATCTTTCTTGCATCATGCTTTGACCACATTTTGCGAGCCGTAGAATAGGGCTCAAAGAGAAAGGAACCCAAGAAGGGGGGGGGGGGGTTGGTTGTGTTTGAGCTACCCGGGGATCTTAAAACGTCATGATAATGCTTCATGCTTTACTTTGCACGAGCTAATCTCGAATTCTGCTTTAATACCTTTCAATCGAATGGCAAAATTCTATTCACTGCAGACATGAGTAGCTTTCATGGTAAATTTTTCTGGAGAATGAAATTAAGTGAAATTTCCGTTAGACATCACTAGGGGCTGACCTTCTGAGTGACGTCATCACAGACCAAACCTCTGAATAGTAATAGCAAAGGTTTTTAAAATGGCTTTGACAAAAGAAAACATTATCAAACATGATTAAGCTGGGAAATTGTTTGCCCAACACGCCCCCTTTAGCAACGGCCTGAAATTGCCTCAATACCCATTAAAACCACCATTTCTATCTATTTTTCAATTGTCAACACTTGCACATAAAGTATTGGAATGTCCAAAAAGTTGCAAAAAAGCAATTTTTCATTTATTAGAAAGCATGAGTAATACACATTATTTTTGAAATGAATTATTTTTGAAATACAGGAACAAGCACTATGCTATAAATATATTTACTTTTTATGATACCGAAATATTTTGCATATTACTTTATAGACTCGTTGCCGAAGTCACTGCACACAGTTGATCAAAACAGGAAACACGTATTGGCAATTTAAAGAGAAAAGAAATTTCCGAACCTTGAGATACGATTCTCACAATATCGTCGCCGTAAATAGTTTTCCTGCTGTTGCCGTTGTCGTGTAAATGATCATCGTTTGTATAATTGCCATCGTCGAGTCCTAGAATTTTTCTTATTAGAAATGAGCGCGGCATCTTCTCTGTGGATAAGCTCAATATCTAAAAATGCAGAAAATGCGAGGATACGTGTTATAAATAAGATCTTTGTAAATACTTTACAGCAAGACTTAAATTAGAAAACCTCTTTATAATTGTTAGTAGAGTAGAGCTTCTTTTCATGTTTTTATGTTAGATTAATTCGGCTGGGGAGTTCTTTTAAACAAATAGTCAGCCATTTAGGTGAAGAGCGGATTTTCTGATGCAATTTGGAAATGATGGAATAAGGGGGAGGGGTGCTTTAGATGAGGGAGAAAATAAAAATTTTAAATTTTAAACCAAACAACCGTGAATATAAACTATATTTTTGTGAAGTATTAATGGAGGGTTTTAGGGGAGGGGGAGGGAGCTGGAGTGGAAGACCTAGAAACTAAATATGTAATTTGAAGGTTCAGTTGCAAACGTATCTTTATGCAGAGACAAAAGAAATGGACTCAAATAGAAAAATTGGGGTTAGAAGAAGAACTTTGAGTTTCCACTTCAGAAATAGCAAGAATATTGTTAGGATATAATAGGAGCTCCCAGCCCAAAGTGCTTTGCATTTGGCTGTCTTAAAGGTTTTTGGAGATATCTGACTGCTTACTGAGTGCAGGGACATAGACGTAAGAGCCAAGGGGCCAGGGGGGCCTAGGGGGCCCAGGGGGCACGCACCCCTTACTTTATAAAAAGTTCAGGTAAAATGCCCCTCTGCAGCTTATCAAGTTGCCCTTTTTGCCAACTGCGTGGCCACAAAGTACCCTTGAAATGCTTAGATGCCATTTGAAATGAGCAAAGAAAGCAAGGAGTGACAATTTCTCCATCTTCTTCTGCTTCTAGAAAAATCAAAACTACAAACAAAAAACCAGGGCTGGAGGTGGGGGTGGCGGAAATTGCCCTAAGGCCTTAAAAAGTAATGAAGTTCATTTTCAGAAAGCTAGTGGCAAGACATAACGCATGGATGCCTTAAATAATAAAATTATTTGATCGATTGTAAAGAAATGGACTGAAAAAGTATTCTCAAATGTGTTTTTGGTTAATCTGATAAGGATTGTCACAAAATTTTCCTGCTCGCCTCGTTTGTAAAGGGCCTTGTTCTTTTTCAATTACAGGGCCTTCGAGCCCTCTTGACAACAACGCTCACAACTAAGGCAGTAAAAAAGATCTATGTCATTGTCCCCAGGCTTCCATTCACAGTCTTTCTAACCTTTCTGGAATCTTAGCTTGGGTACCCCTTGAACAGAATTTTTAACCATATAGAAATTTTGTTAAGGTGCCCCTTAAACAGAATTTTTGAACGTATGGAACATTTGCTAGGGTGCCCCGTAAACAAGATATTTAACCGGATAGAACCTCTGCTAGGGTACCCCTTTAATCGGATGCCTCTTTAAGCGGGTGCTTCTTTAACCGGGTGCCTCTTTAACCGGGTGCCCTCATATTGAAAATGCTTCCTACGTCCTTGTGCAGGGATATGGGTGAATTTGAACACATCTACAGAAGATCGTAACTACCTTGGAGACAACCCAAGGCCTACGCCACGAATTTCAAGGTGGAGGGGCCACGCTCTATAAATCAAACTTGAATTTAGTGCTTCATAAGAGGGACCTCTTTATAAATATTTTGGCTTACTAAAAAAGGAGTGGACCCTGCAACCACAAGAGTCCGTAAGGTGGAGTTTTGTATCCTAGATGCCGAAAATATAAAATTTCAAAGTTTTCCTAATGCCTTGGTTGAATCTCTAAAGTTTTTTATTCTTGATACTTGCTTTGAATTTCTAACCCGCTTGATAAATTTTGCGTTGCTCTTCTCTACCATCAGAAAACAAATAACATGCTCTTAACACAGTATGAATAACTGGGTTTTCATCAAGAGTATCATAAAATTTCTCCAATTAGTGTTATCATTTCTACTTTGTTCATTAATGCATCAATTTGTTATTTGAAACATTAATACAATGATTCAATTTTTCAATTTTATTTTTTGTTTAAACTCGATGAAAAAAGATGCGCGATTTAATAGGGAAAGTTTTTTGAGAATTTTAGATTTAAACCTTTCGAGTAAAATATAGAATATTTCGAAAAAACTTTAGATAGATAACTAAAAATAGTGCTAATACTGTAGTGCATTCCTTGAGCTCATTTTTACTTAAACTTCAAGATTCTCATACTAGTATCAACGATATTGAAACTAAGAATAATCTACTCATATCTAACATGGCTTAGTTTAATTGTTTTACCATACCGATTACAACATTGGATTGTCGTTTTGACATGAAACTTGTGATTTTTTCTCTGTCTTCATATAGAAGGTTTTCATTGAAGATGGTCTTTTCAACCAATCTTTTCAACCAATTTCAATGCCAATCTAATCGATTTTTGGCAATTTAAAAGTTGCCGGTAAACAACTAATACAGCACACTTCTTCTTAGAGGCTAAGAAAATCATTCTAACGTTTGTAAAGTGGATACTGAATTTTCAGTTTTTAAAGAACGAGTCATAGAGATAATATGGCCTTACATTTGCATCCACGGCCATACTCCGGCAGTCCAATTTAGAATTTTGCAGTCTTAATTTTTCTTGAATAATAAATGATTGATTGGCAAGCATTGCCCTAGAATCGGAGTTTATACATTATATATGTCACATGGTAATGTGCCATACAAGTTCTTTGTGGTGCTGTTGGTATGTGATAGCGCAGCTTGCAAGATATCCATTGCTTTTCTACAACTTTGCATAGTTTGTATATGTAGTTTGAATAATGTATAATTCGTAAGACTAACTTTATGTTCTTTCGAATTTAGCTGTGAGGCTAAGATAATTCCTGAATATCTAATGTATTCTTTCCAGGAAAACAGTTTTGTTATTCACCATGATTCTGATTATCATTGTACTGAATTCTTAGTCAATTATTTTTAGAGCTTCTATTTGTAAAAGACGACGATTTGCAGAGGATATCAGAGAGAATAGAAGCAAGCCTAATGACGCAAGTCTTATTGAATAAAAAGCTGGATTTCAAAGTACATAAATATCTATTATATTTGATACAATTGCAGCATTGGCCAACTGTCTTTCCTTTATATAACTATCTAAACCATATGTATATCTCAGACCTACTACTAAGGCAAATATACATATTTTTGGGAGATTTTCTGTATGCTGTTTTGAGATGTAGTAAAAATCCCTGTAAGGATAATTAACAGATACAATGCAAATTTAAATTGCTAAGTCAATGGCATGTTCTGGCTAGTATTTATTACGCTATGCATATTTGCTGTCTTTCGCTAATGACAAACCCCTTAGCCCTCTCATATATTAACCCCTTAGCCCTCCCCTTTACCCCGTCATTCCTAGACATGTCTGAATTATAAAAATGTCGAAGCATTCTCTCACCTGTCTTGTATCTATGTAACTTGCACTCCTGTCTGACCAACCACCATGGACCAACAAACCGTTTCTGGACTGTCCCTAGTTTCAGCTTACCTTCCCTTTAAACGCAGAACAGCAATACAGATTTAAATACACAAGAAATAAACCAATCAATCAAATCCATACAAAGTAATGCATTAATTTCCTTGTACTTATGCTGAAAATAACTGCACCTATCCCTTTCATTACCGCCGCAATAAACGGTAATCAATATCAACACCTTACGATTCCAGACAGCTGCCGAATGTTGTTTGGGGGTCGTTACATCATGTAACAGGGCAATCAAATGTCCTTACATTACTATAGTGAAAAGGTGGCCAATCATAAGGGCAAAGAACGGCTTTTATACGCTCAGCCAGATGGGAGGCTACAGGGCGAGGCCTTTTTCATGATATCAGTAGCACATAGTCCTAGGCAAGCGTCATTTGCTTAGCAGCTAAGCATACTAATTGGTTGAAGCAAGTGGTGACGTCATTTTTAGAATTTGCACGCAATCTGAAAGAGAATTATATGATACCTCTAATGTGCAAAATCAGTTGAATATGTCACAAATTGGCTGAAATACGGCCAGATGAGCACAAGCCCTTCCCCTCTCATTGGAATTTGGTGAAGGTTCTAATAACCAAAAGCAAAACAAAATTCTTTTTTTTCATATCCTTAGTAACTTTTCAACATAGTTATGTTTTTATGCAGTTATTGGTATAAGTTTTTAGTACCGCAAAATTTGAAGCTTGCACGAAATAGCGTAAACGATGGATACTGATGTATTCTATCTAAGAACCAATCAAATGCGTCATTTTTCCTATCACATTGTTTTCGATCCAAACCTGGAAAAATTACCTCAGTATGCCATTTTTCCGTTATTTTGTGCCATCATCAAGTTATCGGTATATTTTATAGCTTCATTCTAGACTATTAGGTCAAGAGTCAAAAATCCTAAAAATTTCAATGCTTCCTTAAGATTCTTTTAATTCTATCAGCATTTTTGCCTTACCTTGGCGACCAAAGCAGCACAAGGAAGAACGGCAGTTGTTTCACGATGAAGCTTCATTGTAAGAATTAGTAGATTGTATCAGATCAGTGCGAACTGTCAGTCAAAAACTGAAGAAAGCTGACCATGTCTTTAAGACATCAGTTTTGAAAGACCATAAACTGTCAATCAAAAACTAATAAGAACTGATCGTGTATTCAGGGCCTAAGCTTTTTCACGTTTGCTGTAAGTTTTGGTTTTAATTCTGTGAACAATAAGATAATTATGGGATCAATTTTTACCAAACGCCAACAAAATGACAGAGGTGGTGGAAAAGTCCAAGCCCATACACTATTTATATCCATAAAAATTTTGGTCTTAGATCCCAGAATGTCGAAGGAATGGTCTTACACTGCATAATGCTAGCACAGTCTTTTTATATTTCTCGATTGTCGGCAATTTGCACATACGCATCTGAAGGCAATTTGATTTCAGTCGGCAATTTGAGAAATGTAAGCAAATAGAAGCGAAGGCATATATGGGTAAAATTCTGCAAACGGGAGCCAGAAATGCAAAGATGCAAAGGTCCAAAATGCGATAATATCAGAATGTTCGACTGACCGAAACGTGTTTTCCCAGGATTCCAAAGTAAAAGCAGGAGGCACAGTGATTGGCCTTTGAATATCAAAAATCGAAGATATGCTAGGCCGAACTCCATTTGAACAATATGCTAGGCCCAACTCCATTTGACGGCAGATTTACGATAATTGTCATCGTCTTTGATGGAAGAGGATAAAGGGAACTATGAACTAAGCTACATCAAATTGTTATTAAAGACAAATAAATATGATGTATAAGAAACTTTAAGGAGAGGTACGTTGGTTTTTCAAACACGAATTTAAAAGCAGTAGTTTAGGTAAAACTTCAACACATAATAAAGCTTTGATAATTTGGTTCTAGTTGTGTTTTCAGTCGCTGCCTCAAAATGAAAGGCTGCGGTAAAAGAACTCACTAAATACAAATTGAATGGTATATTTGCAAAATTTCATATAACTTGTTTGCTTAACCACAACCATCAATAGAATGATGAATTAAGACAATATCACTTCGAAATTATTTGTGAAAAAGAATTCGAATTAACTTCTCCTATAGCAATGAGGCCATTTCCACTTTCAAACTCATAAATCCAGCTGCAATCTTTACCTTGCACCTCAATTTCAAACTTAAAATGAATCTGCGCCTGTTTATTAGGCCAAGGAAATAAAAATCATATTAATCTTTATTGTTTAATTTCAATGAAATTCAACTCAAGATAGTTGAAATATGACATTTTATAGTTTTAGTAAAATTAATCATATGTTTTGAATTACTGACCACAAAACCGGTTCTTTTGGGGAATAATCCTGCATCAACACTTTCTCGAAAATCCAGGGTATGCTAAAAAGTTTGGTGAAGATAATTTCAAAATGAGTTGGCAAGTAAGGCCCTTTTTATTATCAAGTTTTTTTGGAATCTGTAAACTTGAAAACAAAGGATCCATCGTGAGGATCTTCATTTTCTCTCTTGGACATTTCAGCTAGCGGCCGTTGATTAGTCAGAAAGAAAGCCAGCAAAAGCGTCTTTCTTTCTCTAATGTTACTTTTCATCCTTACCTGGTTATAATGTTTTGGTTTCCTTTCGCCATCATCCGACATTTATACTCACTAAAGTCAGACCAAGCGTTGTAGTATGCTAGTTTCCGCTTTACAATTATATCTTTAAATTAAGTGACACCAAAGGCTTCTGTCACTTGCATAAACCAGGCAAAACATAGCTGCTAGTAAATATAATTGGCACATGGTATTTCCAAGAAATCTAAAAAATTCCTAATGTTATCTTTCAACAAGCAAATTAATTGGCACATTTTGGCAGATATGCTGCTGAACAGATTTAGAAATGCATATAGATAAGGACAGGAGCAACAGTTGCGTCATCATCGATTTAAGCGTGAAGCTCTGACTAGCAACTTAAAAATGTCCTGTTCTATACACCAAATAACGTGTACAGCTCTGCCTAAACGAACAGCATCAAGCACTTTTTGACAGGCCAGTGAACAGGAACTCTCATTGCAGATCTAGAAAGTTTTATGTCAGTGCTGAAATAGCATCAAGTCACTTTCCTTCAATGAACTTGCTTCATTCGAATTTGTTTTTATATCTTACCTGGCTGTTTGTTAAACCTTTAAGAAGTCTGAAAAATCTCTGCAGAGTATTAAGTGAAGAAAAAAGAAAAAAATACACAATATTTCCAAAGCAAAGTTGTTTTAATGAAATTAGGCGGTATAGGAATGCAAGTGTATGAATGTATGAATGTATCATTTGCAACCATATTTACAAATATTTACAAGTTTAAAAAAAAAGAAAGATACAATACATTATCCAATGCTAAAAACGTAAAAATGAACATACCTAATTACAGAGGCAGGGATAGCGTTAAAAGATCAAGTTGACCTTATTTCCAAAATGATTCCCTCAAATTTGCGTGTATAATGGGAATACATAGGAAAAGACGAGAAAACGGGGTTGTATCCAAGTTTTCAATGCGAAAAAGTCCTTCGTAGAAGACATATATGTCAACTTATTTTTTCTAAATATTTTGAAAGATTTCTCTTTGATCTTAGTTTGAACATAATGATATTTTTTGTAGATTTCAACTCAGATGAAAGACTGTTCCATGTTTTGGACTCCAAACAAGGCATATCTGTCCACTATTACTTTTGCGCAATGGAAGTTCAAATTTAGGCTTGGGCACGTAAAGTAAAATAGGTTATGACATTTTAAAGTTTAGGACAGTGATTCCAATGATAGTCTTACAATCAGTCCAGCAGCAGAAAATCGACAAACCGTTAGTTGGCTAAACGCACCGGAAAGTAGCTCTTGTGTATTCAGCGTATAGTTACTTCGCCGGGGGTAGACTGGGGTTGTAGAAACATCTGTATAAAGTCACTACAAAGCTGGATTCCATTTGACCTCCTTTCTAGCAAGGTACTCTGGCTCCTCTAACAAAGGGGACGGTGGGGCGGGGGCTGGTTAAAATAATCGGATCAGAGTTTAGGCGATGGGATGAGTTGTAATATCTAAAACCGCTGAAATTCTTGGGAGTGTAAAAAACCATTGTCAAAAATAGCTTGCCCTGGGTAGGCTCTCATAGCGTTTGAGTTGATCAGAGTAGGGTCTGCGGCAGTTCTGGTGCTAATTATGTCAGTTTTGCAGCATCCTCTGTAACAGCCATAGATCATTGCAATAATTGCAACAAGAGACGCAACCCCGCCAATCGATGCACCAATGACAATATACTTTGTCCGATTTCTTTCCGAAGCTAATCGGTCGGTCTGCATGCTCCAGCTTTCCCAGTGACTCCATCTTGTCGGCGTTGTTGGTGTTGTCGGCGACCAAACCGACCAGCTTCGTCCGTTGCCTTAAATAGAAAACCATATATATCATGTCTTAGATAAAGTCGTGGACCAAATAAGTATGTTACAGAAAGGTAATGAAAAGGAAGGCTTATCATGAATCCATTATCTTTGATGAATCTCAACAAAATTACTAACAGCAAGTTTTAAAGTTCTCTAAATTTTGCAATAATATCTTTTAGGTAAGATCTTTGTTTCTGAACATGGCTACAGATATTTTGCTACTGCTTTGACTCAAGAAAAAAGACTTTCCCTGGAAAAAGAAATAGTAGCAGTGAAAAGAAATGTGGCGACAAATAATAGCATGGAAAGGGGTGTAAGGATAAGCGAAATAAATTCTTAAAATCTCGAAATGCATACAAAGTCTTACAGACCCCTACATCAAGGAAGAAAAGCGATACATGCAAAGAAAAAGTATAAAAGAACAATCAATAGATTTCGAAATAAATACTACAAGAATTTTAAGAAGGCTAAGGGAACTGAAGTCAAAGTGTCCACGACAGTTCTGGTCCTTGATCAAGAATTAGAAACGAGAATCATCAAGAAATTAATAATTAAAAGCATTGTTTGAATATTTCCGAAAACTGAACCAAGGTAATGATGAAGAAAGTCGGGTAACTGTAAATACTGACAATAACTCTGAGCTAGGCGAATTTTTCAAATAAGATGAAGTGGAATACATAATTTCTTAACTTAGAAATAATAAATCTCCAGGACTCGATGGTGTAATAAATGAATATCTAAAACATGGGTCAGTCAAAATAATAAACATACTAACAAAATCTTTAACATCGTTCTTAAAACTGGTTTTTTCCCTTAATAGTGGCTAATTGGTATAATTAAACCGATTTATATAAATAAAGGGCGGAAGTCCGGTGCAAATAATTATAGAGACATTGCACATTTCGTGGGTTACGCTTCAAAGGGACACGTTGCAAGGAAATAAGTTCAGGGCTAGCAACATTCCAAAAATACAACAGATTTTACAACCAAGTTCGATTATGCGAAAATGCAGATCGGGGGGATTTAGATATTCTCAACATTCTCAATTGAGAATGTCAGACTTTCGAATCAAAATATGCTATAAGGAATGAATGAGTTCAGGTTCATAAACTAGAACCCCTTTTCCTCTTGTTTTTTTATCTGTTTTTTTATCCTAAAACTGTATTTGTAATACGTCACTCTTCTTCTGCGAAGGAATTTTCGATATTCTATGATGAACCACTAAATTCTCCTTCATTTCCCCCATTATCCATTTTGATATTAGCCTGCATCCTGTATCTAGGGATGAATTTGACAATGTTTACTGGCTGTTGTCATGTATTTTGAGAAGTTCCATCGTATTTTGAGAAAGTTTCCCGCAATTTCTCCATGCGCACGCAGAAAATTGCCATGCAATTTTGTCACCACAGGGGGTCGATCTGAACGATCTGAGCGGAAGAAAAATTAGCCAGGATGACGTAGCAAAGCCATTCACTTTTAATAGGGTAGTTCATGCATATGTTTATGCATATGTTACACATTCATTTAATGCGATCTTGGCTACGTCGCATTTTAAGAATCTTGAAAAATTAGCGGGATGGCCTGGTCTTTAAAGAAATGAAATTTGTCACGGAACACCAATCAACGTGATCAAGAATCCACACTCTAGACCACAGTGGCAGTACTTGGTAATTTTTTAGTTCTCTCACAACCAACATGGAATCGTTTGGCACGCATTGTAGCTTAAGGTTGCTTGAGAATTTTAATATGAACCAAGAACGATAATGAAAAAAGTACAAAGTTTTAGTACTTACCATATTCAATGTACCCTATAACGAAACCACGATTCAAATTTCTCTCTTTGGATTCAAGTTCGTAGAAGAAGTAAACACTCGATCTGGTTGCAATGTAAGATCTAGGCTGTAAATGACGAAGCTTTCCACTGATTGAATCAGCGTATTGCTGGATGTCATTCGCATCAGTGTAGTAGTATGTGGAATCTACAAATGAAGAAGTTGTCAGCGTTACCGTAACTGCAAGAGCCATATCTACAATTTATCAACGCTAAATGATCATATAAATGAAGATATTACAGAGGCTTACAGAGATAATATAGAGGGAGTACAGAGGCTTAGCCCCTCAGCTGGCTTCCCTTAGACAAGGCTGATAATATAAGTTTTGCTATCAACATTTGCTAAACAGATCCTTGTCTCTCCCTTGCCGATTCGAAAGCTTCTTTGCACACATTTTTCCGTGCATCATGTCATCCCTATACTCCCTTCTTATATGTGTCCTACAGACAGGGTAGTTCTCTGACAGCCTCAAAAATGCCCTTGCTGTTAATATTCTTGGCAGCCATTCTCTGTCCTCTTTCGACAACTGTCTGGATTGCAAGTGACACCTTAGCATAGGCTGCGAAGGTAGGTTTGCCGCATTTCGTGTTTGAAAACTGCTTTTTGAGCATTTGAAGGTTTTTTGAAATTCTCCTCACCTACTTCTAAAATCTTGAATAGCTATGATTCAATCAAATGAACCTTTCTACAACTTTTATACTCACTCTAGCAAACAAAACATTTAAATATCTGAGAGATCATTTCATGAAGGTTAGCCAGGAATATAAATCCTCCAGGATTGCTGGTGGTTAACCTATTGAGGGTGCTGTTGCCGTATTCTAAACAAACGCCGTATTTGGCACCTTTTATGAAGCACAGGCAAAGGAAAAGGAATTTTGAAAATAACACGAAAGAGTGGAAACAGATCACACTAAAGCATTTTTTCGTCTTATAATCCTTATAGTATTAACGTCGGGTAATATTCAAAGGTAAGCAGAAATTTATATCCAGTTGTGGATCGAAAGCAACGGGAGAGAAAGGAAAGCATGTTTGATTGGTCTTATTTTTTGACCCTTTTGGGTGCTATCTATTCAGGTTCTAGATCCAATGGCCTTCTAGCACAGAGCCTGGCATACTTGGTTATTACTATTCCCGGTTATATAAAGACGACGAAGACGTTCGCGTACCTTTTATATCGAGATAACAGCTTTGAGCAGATCAAAAAAAATCCGTCGTTTTCTACTTAGAATCCATTCTTTTCGTTAGTGTGGAGCTCTTGTTTAAGTTTTACTTTTAAGAAAGTCTTACTATTTTGATAACAGATCATTTGAGTGTTATCTATTTGAGGTCTAGGTCCATTTGCAACCTTGCTTACTTGTTGATAATTATCATGAAAGAAAGATACACAAAACGTTACAAAACATAACGAACTTCAAAGCGTTCTTGTGAAATACTTGGAAAAATCCATTTCAATTACCTTTTATATCCAGATAATAGCCATCATGGGAACAATTATGTTTAGTGCATAAATCCATATCCATGACAGCAATTTTCATGGCGTTGTTTCCAAGTCTGTAGCTGAAAATACAGGGTGTTAATCTCGGTCCATAGCCATTTGGCCAACCAACTGAGTAGAAGTTTCCTACTGCAGACCTGTTCATCTGGCTGCAATGGGAAGGATGAAAAAATATAGATGTAACTCTGCTTTCTTAAAAAGGGCCTAAATTTCTCTGTGTTCATTAACCTGTTGACAAGTGTTCAAATTTTCTAGGACATAAGGCTATCTTAAAAACTAGAAATATGGTGTTAATATATACGTATGTTCCTTTATAATGTCATTAACCAGTTGATCACCATATAAAAGCCAAAAAAATTTTCTGCAGAGACTCTCTGCTGCATGTATCAGAATAGATTGTTTCAACGTTGAAGAAGAACACGCCAAGAAAGATACCATCAACATTTTTGATCACTCGATAACCTGTCAATCAAAATATCGCTTACGGAATATACAATAATGGTAATAATAATAATCATAAATACTACATCATTCCTTTTCTTCCCTTTTTTTAAAGAACTAACACAACAAAACAATGTTGGTTGTGACATTCCATATAAATTTTGTTGTTTTGAAAGATAGCACCAAATCTTCGAGGGACCTAGATACTCCTAAATAAAAAGCATTTCATCTGCAGCCAATTCATGACAGTGCCATAGATGCAATGTTGGAAGCCAACAAAGAAATATTCACTGGGATAGGAAAACTTCATGACACTCGAATTAAGCTTAATAAAGAACCAACTGTTCCTCTGTTATTCAAAATACTGGGCGAATACCTTTCATACTCGAAGACAGGTTGTGACAAGAACTGCTCAACCTTGAAAGTCAAGGGATCATCGAGAGAGTACCAGAGGGGCAAGTAACCCCTTGGATATCAATCCATAAGAATCTGTGTTGATATGAGATTTGCAAATAAGCCTGTTTAAATAAACACAGCAGTACATGGGAAACATGGATGTGCCATGCGATATTGTAAATGAGACATGCAACCACAACCGCAAAGCCACGATAATCGGCTTAACAGGTCAAGAGATTTTCAGACCTCAACTAAAAGTTTTGATAAAGAAATTATGGAAACCTTCGTTTACATGGGATTTTTTCCATTTTCAAAGTTTCTGTTAGTTTAAAACACGGCATCATTGAGTGCCTTGAAAACGCAAATAATGAAACATTTCTAGAAAAATTTTTTTGGTTCGAAACAACCTAAAAAGCTTTAAAATACGTCCGCAACACCATTTGTGGAGTTTCCAATGAATTTCAGGCCCGTACCTCTCAAAAAGATGATCTTTCGCAATCAATTCTTATTCTTCTGATCATGTCACAAACCAAATCAGCAGCGGACCATCGTTGTGGCAGAGAAGCTTCCGCCATGACTTTCCTATTTTAGAAAATGTTAAGCGGGGGTTCAAACTTTAGAAATGGTTGCAATATTAGAACTAACCTAGCATGACTGAAATTTTAGAAATCTTGCAGAGCAAGCGATTGGAATTTTAGAAACGTTGATTAAGTAATTGAAATTTTAGAAAATGTTGAACGGTGGTTGAAACTTTGGAAATGACTGAAATTTTAAGACTAGACAGAGCAACTGAAATTTTAGAAGATCACTAAACTTTTAGAAAGTTTCTAAAATTTTAGAAAGAGCTATTTTGGCGGTATATGCGCGCCATACCCAGCGGTCGTCCACTTTCAACCAGTACCTTCTTATGATTTTCTTGAAAGAATAGTTATGCGCAAAGATCTAATTATGTACACTCACCTCGCAGAAGTTTCTGGACAGTTTCAAAATTGGTATTCACTCAAAAAAGACCGTTTTATTGAAATATTATCAATGAATTCCCTCAAATTTTATTTTAAAGTTTCTTTGGTTTGAGAGCTATTTATTCACAAAAAAATTATTTTACCAATGCGTAAGCAAACGTTGTTAGGTTTTTTGTCAAGATAGAAGCAACCGAAAATAAAGAATCTGACTTACAGACAGCGGCTAGAAACAACTTTAATCACACTTATTGAAAAAGCTATCATTGAATTTCTAGCATCACTCGATGCACAAAGACAGCTTCTTTTGGTATATGCAAAAAGTTTAAAACAACAAAAGCATTCCACTTCACAAAAGCTGTCTGAACAATTCTGTAATCTGCGTATAGGCACTTGTAGTGATTTTAATATTGAAAATTAGGCCATATTTCTACTTCATGCCATCACCATGACATCCACCTATGTCATTCACAGCATCACCTAGCACATGACATTCCCTTCACCATTGATCACACGTTCACACATCTATCTCATGCTGATTTCTTCCCAAGTCTAGATCTTTCCATCTCCATTGCATCATCATTCCATCATCACAACACATCATTGTTCAGCACATTTATTTTGTATATAAGTATGTTAATTTGTATGTAAGTCAGTCAAGTCAAGTCAAGTTCAGTTCACATCAGAGTTACACAGGCACCAAACTGTCTCTCTCACTGGCTCCGTGTTCTCTGCACGTTAAATAAGATTCTTCGAAGTAGCATCCACGGTGGAAAGTCACAGGATATGATAGGAACCATTGCAATTCTTGCTAAATAATAGCGTTCCTATACACTCCCAACCAGTTCCTAAGAGGTTTACATATTCTTATGGTGTTATTTCCCCCACACTTTATGTGTACCTTAAAGTGTAACAAGATGCACATTTAATGCCTTAATGGGTCTCACGGGGATTTCTCATCGGGCAAGGATTTACATGTATGTCCCCAGATAATAAACTTTGCTGAGAAACGAATTCTACTTTTAGAAAACGATCTGCGACTTGTTTTCACAATTTTTAGGCCAATTAAAAATGAGGGAGGCCTAAAGCTAGTGGGCCCAACTTCAAGTCATGCTCCAGTGGCGTAGCTAGCCAAATAGCAGTGGTCATGCCCTCCCTCAAATTTGAAAAAATATGGGTGTTGCCATATTCTGCCACGCCCAATTTTTCAGTTGATGAGTCCCTTTGGGAAATTTTAATTTTATGGCTTGCAACTTATAAAAAAATTTTTGATGAACCTTTGGAAAGAGCTTTTCTTATTATTTTGTTACACCATAAAATGACCTTTGTGTCTTATAGCTGTGACACTGTTTTGGTTTGTTGGTAATTTATACAGACAGAGTTCTGACAATTTCAAAACAGAACTGTACAAAAGACATTAGAAAACATTAGTTTAGTATAGTAGATAAATTTAGCTTAAACAAATAATTGTGTTATTCTCCTAATTTCTTTCAATTTGCAGGCTGAAATACATTTGTAAAGTTTAGAGATAAGCTAAAATTTGTAAATAAAACAATAAATCACATGAAACTGAATGGGAGCTTTTTGGTCATATTTTTCACAAATAGTCTTATTATCAATCTATTGAAGGTAATTTAAAGCCATCACGATTAACTAACAACCCGAATAGAACTGATAGATGAATAAAACAAATGGGCAAAGGAATATGCAATGTAAATATTGATATGAAATATAGGAAGCTAAAATAATGGATAGGCCTAGTTGCAAAATGTTTCCTGCAAAGTTAAGACTTAATAGAAAAATACCTTGCAAAATAAGTTAAACTTGATAAAAACATTTATGTTTCCACATATACTTGTGGTAAACATCCACATGATTGGATTTCCTTACTAAATCTAGCAAACAAGGGTTTTAAATGAAATAATTTGATCTTGTAAATTTTCAAATACATGAAAAGTTATAAAGAAATAAAACTGTTTAACTAACAAGATCAGTAACATGCTTGACTTGTCGCTGGTCATCTTATTTAAACATCTATAAGTAGTAAAAAGGTACTTTCAATTACAAGTGAAGTCAGTAGAGCTTTGAGTTTGACTTTAATTGTGTGTAAAAACAGTGTTATTGCATGTGATAATAAATAAAAAATTGAAGAATAACTTTAAGCAAGTTCTGGCATTCCCTATCCATTAACTACAACCTTATTGTCCTAATCATAATATGGTAACAATGCTCTTAAAGGGCTTAACAGTTTCTGAATATGCTGCTAAATGTCTGGAAAGTTTAAGCTCTCAAATCTGTTGGTTTGGAAAATAACACTGTTATCTCCTCCATCCATCTCCAGTGAACAGCATCAAGATTTGGCATTCACTAAATCAAGAAGATTCTCTGCAAATGTTCAACTAGTAACAATTGATTACTGAAAAGGCTGAGAGTTTGGTTTGGTTGCATAAAATGATCCTGCTCGCTGATTTTATGCCCAAAAATGGCCTTTCGTGCCTGTCACTTCTCCACATAGTGCAACAACATTAGGGCTGAAAAACCCTGTCATTGCCATAAAATGTTCTGGAGATTAACATGAGTCGTGGCTGCTTGGCAATGAGCTTTTGTTTGCATTTTACTTACAGAGAATTACCTCCCAGCTCGTGGATCTTGGCATAGCAGCGCCGCCATCGATGCCTCGCATTCGCGTTCATGAAATAACACAGGACGGTTCTGATGATTATAATGATGGTCATGCCCTCTCGAAATGGCATGACTAGCCTTTGTTCTCTCCTGCGTCACTCCTATTGTTAGGCATGACCAAACATAGGGAACCAGCGTTATGGGCATGACTAAAACACAGGGTTTGGTCATGCTCATAGTTATGGGCATGACTAAATTGGAAACCCTCTGTTTTAGTCATGCCCGACAATAGAAGAGCGCCTTCGGAGGGCTCCATATTGTTGCGTGGAACCATAGGGCTCCAAAGGCGAATGGCCTGAGCTATTTCATCAGGAGAATACGACTTTATTCTTACGAAAATATAATTTTTTGAAAAATGTTATCTCTGGAAATAGATGGTCATGCCCGGCATGACAAGCATGACCGCTAGCTACGCCACTGCATGCTTCATGACAAAAATGTGACAGAAAACTTTGATGCCTGCTACTATGATATTTTCCATTTGCATTGCGAGCGATTTGTCGCGAAACTGAGTTCGAGAAATAAATAAATTTTTAGGTTTGTATTAATACGCAAAATGGCAACAAATGTTCACAGAAAATTGACCTTTAAAGAGCTGATGGTAAATATTGCAAGGAAATTAATTAAGAACTACAAATTTACCCTTGTAACGAACGATTTCAGCAAGAGTTGCAGCTATAATGAAATTATGTGTCTTTATGACAGGCAACTGCTGAAAATGAGACACAAATATGCGAACCGAGGCTGAGCAACATTCTTGAAATATTTTCAAAAATATATAATTCTGAGCCTGAATATTCCTATAAAAAAATTCTATAAGGGGCAAATTACTATTCCAGTTTCAATGTGGGACATATCGTCTAAATGCACAGTATCTCATTCCATATTTTCTGTCGACAGTTTGTTATATTTTCTTTCGTTAAGTTGAATATAAAACGTCGGCAACTAGAATGTTTTGCGATATATAAATGTTTTGGTTAAGGACAATCGGACGTCGAGCTGTACGGGTACTTTCGTTGAGGAAGTGTACAGTGTGAAATTCGTCGTGAAAAATATACTTACGCACATTGTGTTGATATCAGATTTGGCTGGCCTCCAAGAGGTTCTGATGCTTTGTTTTTCAGCTGATATGTTAAGGAAAAGCTTGCGCCTGACCGCTTGCCATCTGATACAAGGTTGAAAGATGCAAAACTATCATTGGAGTACATGTTAAACAGCAAACGTGATTTGATGTTACCAGAACAGTACTTGCCAATGCTTCTGTTCGACCTAGATAAAACAATTTTGAATGTTAATTAGGCCTTGGACCCTGTCATATGTTCTTCTTTGAATCATGATCAATATCATGTCTGTTTGAAAATTTTAGAAAAATTGTTACACTTTCTCTAGACTTTTCTAAGGCATGCTGTTCTTAAGTTAATAAACCTGTAAATAAATTAATAACTGGTTTTAGTTTGTAAGAATTCTACACCTTGAACAACAAACGAACACAAGAACAAGAAAAGTGGACAAGCAATTTCGAATTTTCAAATTCACTAGAATTACATTGATAGCAGGATGTTTTCAAAATCTACAAGGTTTTTTTTTCTACCAAATTAGATTCAATTTTTTCTGTTAATTTCATTGGCCTAGAAAAATTTCACACAATGTTTGAAACTTTATTTGCCTGCTCATTGTGGATATCTGAATCACATAAACTATAAAAGAATAATCGATTTAACAAGGAGTAAACGGTGTCAACTCTTTTGGTCGCAGGAGGGTCCCCTATAATGGACCAAAATTACAATCAAGCTTTTCAAAACTCTACTTCTACGGGAAGTGCACCCCAAAAAAGATTGGAAATCAATTAATATTTTATTTCATCCGATCGACTTGATATCAAAAGACATAAAGACAGGAACAACAACAACAAAAGCTACTACAGCAAACAAGACTATTAAAGCTACTCAATGCAAACATCAATGATATGACAGACAATCACACATTGAACAAAAACAACAACAACATTCTGCATAGAGACTTAATTAAAATATTAGTTGATTTCAAATCTATAAAAGGCAATAGCGTTTCCAAACTTATGCTCTTGCTCTGATAAAGTAATAGATAATATAAACAGACTATTGTCACACAACTCTGAGTTTCATGTGTAAACAATCATCAAGTGTATAAAAGAACACAAACTAATGGCAAGCAAGATATAACGAACACAATCAAACGAAGTTAACTGTGTAGAGTGATAAATCGTAACAACTACATTCTAAGATCGAAAATTGCTATTCAAAAGTTTGTTCTGGTGTCTACATTGGCTTATAAATTCTGTTCTATTGAGTATTTTATTGTCCCCTAAAGATTGAATTAAATAAAATTTCTCTGTCAGGCATAATTTACAAAAGTTACTTCCAGCTGTGCTCTTCATTCCCTTGAAAATTTTCCATTTAATAGTTAGTATCTTTCCTTGTTCCTTCAATTTCCAAATATATTTTGAAAGTTCAGTACTCTTTTTCTATCTTTCGTGCTTAAAATCTTTGTTATGGCTTGCATTTCGTAGTTTGAATGTACCTTCGGTAAGGCCAATATAATTTTTCGTTTCATCATCTTTATCGTTGCTTACTGTTGCTTCATATATGAGGTTGGGTGTTAAACATTCATTTCCTAATGGGCAGTCGACTTTGTTTTTGCAGTTACATCCATTTTCTTCCTTGCTCTTTTGGTTTAAAACAGATTTGTTGTGTGAAGATATTATAGAATCTATATTTTTCATACAGCTGTAACTAACTTTGATTGTGTTTTTGTTAAACATTTTAGCCAGCTTTTCATCATCAGCGAAGTTTTTCTTCACAAACTTCGAGAAGATTTTGCACACGTTAATTTTAACATTCCTCGAGTACATAGGGTAGATGAAACCATATAATTTTCCGTTTGCGCTTCTTTTTGTCTTCATTTTTCCTTTTCTCGGTATCTTTGGGAATGTATTTCAAATTGTCGTGACAGTATTAAAAGACTGTACCTAATTCTTGTATTCAATTGAAGGTACCTAATTCTTGACAGTATTAAAAGAACTACTTAAAGGCCTTAACAAACGGATATCAGAATTATCATCAACTGAAGAAATTTATAGAAGAGAAATTACCGTATATGAACAAGCTCTTAGAAAAAGTGGATTCAGAGTTGTGTCACAATAGTCTGTTTATTTTAGTCTATATAAATATATGTATCTATATAGTTATATCTAGATTTCGTAAAGTTATTACTGATGAAGCGAAAGCTAAACGTCTTACGAAAGTGTTTTCTTTTATTCTACATATACACTCCCCTCACGAAAGTACCCGGACAGTTCGAATATCGATTGCGCTTTCAGACAAAAACAAATTTAGGCTGGCGAAAACGACTTTTTAACTTTGTGATAATAATTTTTTGAGAAACTCTTCCGAAATAAACCAGAACATTAAAATGATGCAAAACTTCTGCGCATTTTATCCGTTGTATCTTTTTGTTAAAATGAGAAACTTTTGCGCTACAAGCCTTACGCAAATCAGCTGATGTCAAATAAGCGAAGAAAGCAAAGTCAGGTGATTTGGACTCAGTTAAAATCGGCAAATAAAACATGGTAATTTTTTGCAAACTGGTTCTTGAGACAAAAATATTTTCGAATAAAGAGAAATAAAACGTATTTACTCTCAGTTGGGAAATATGTTTGCATGGAGATGCCACCGATCGATTATAAAAGATGGATGACATTTGGTAACATTTTACGGCCGGGAAAATTTTTTAGACTTCTTGTTTTTCAAATTTTTCTGCATATATCGAAGGCGGCAGTCCTTGTGCATCCAATGATGCTAGCAATTTAATGATAGCTTTTTCCCGTCATTGTGAGAAAGCGTTATTTCTAGACACTGCTCAGAAGTCAATTCTTTTGCTTCGGATGCTACCATCTTGAGAAAAAACCCTCATAGAGTTTGCTTACATATCGATAAGATTATATTTTCTCGACGAATAAATAGATTAAAGGCCAAAAAAATTTCAAGAAAAAATTTGAGGAAATTATGAAAACATTTTCATGAAAACTGACTTTGAAATTTGGAAACAAATTTCTCTAACAACAGATTCGCAACTGAATTCGAAATTTGACAATACATAAAAGAACTATCTGAAATACTCCCAAATATGCAAAATCGTTTCAAATAACAGGTCAGAAATAGCCAATAAAAGATTGGAAACTTCCAAAGAGATCAATGCAAGTTTGGCTGTATTCACAAAGTTATGAACAGAGACTAAACTAACTTAATTGCAGAGGTTTTATGGAGCAAGAGTCTTCGTTTACTTCACCATATTTCAGCCAATTTGTAACACATTTAACATATTTTGCATGTTTGGAAATATTTTACATTTTGCTCTTTTGGGTTATGGGATCCAAATTCAAAAATTAAAAGAATAAGCTTTTGTGATCTAATCACAGCTTTTGTGATCTAGTTTGTTTAGATTAAACAACTGAAAAATTTCCAGCTTTGGGCTGAAAAATTATAGTTATTCAAAACAAGGTAGCTTGAAAACACATGGACAGAAGGGGCAAGAAATGCAGGAATTGAAGGATGCACACCCTCTTTAGAAAAGTCCCCCTATCAAGAGTCTCCCTTCTTCTAAAAAAGGTCAAGAAATATGCCCTGCCAATAACTAGTGAGAGAAACCTTTCAAGACCAGAAACATGCTAGATAGAATTGTGCCACCTGATAGGTAGACTTGTGCCACCTGATAGGTAGACTTGTGCCACCTGATAGGTAGACTTGTGCCACCTGATAGGTAGACTTGTGCCACCTGATAGGTAGATTTGTGCCACCTGATAGGTAGACTTGTGCCACCTGATAGGTAGACTTGTGCCACCTGATAGGTAGACTTGTGCCACCTGATAGGTAGACTTGTGCCACCTGATAGGTAGACTTGTGCCACCTGATAGGTAGACTTGTGCCACCTGATAGGTAGATTTGTGCCACCTGCTAGATAGACTTGTGCCACCTGATAGGTAGACTTGTGCCACCTGATAGGTAGACTTGTGCAACCTGATGTAATTGTAAGAATAGTTTATGTGTACATTGTGACATTGTCTCAATGATAGTCTAAATATAAGGACTGCTGGGCTTAGGTTAATGTACGATGATGGTTGGCCTTCTTGATGACATTAGCAATCTCTACCTTACCTAATTTTAAGGAACATTTAGCACTGCACATTTTGATTGCACATCCTTGGCACTGCAAAAGGAGGTTCCGCAGAGCCCTTTAAGAAATGCTTCCTGACCATGCCACAAAGGTACTTACAGTTTTGACAAGTCATTTAAAATATCAACATATTTGTTATTTTTTCAACTTAATAAAAAACAATGAATTAATCATTGCAGTGCAAAATTTTCTGCTTTTCTCTTTTTCTGTTTTCTTTTGCTCATTTTTCAACTCAGGTTCATTTTCTTCCTTAGAGCATGCTTATATTGGAAAGTTTCCACAGCCTTTTCTTGGTAAAGCAGAAATCTCTGCTAGCCAGAGAAATGATTAGGCAAAACTAATTGATGAGGCCCCCTGCAAGCAGAGCATGCAGAAAATGTTGGTTACCACCCATTTAAGATAGGCTTAAAATGGATTTCAGAATGTTTGTTGCAGTCATTTTCTTACAACTGCATAAAATATTTTTTTATTTTTTAGGCATATTTTCATAACCTCTGATCAATTCCATTATTAAAATGAAATTTGCTTCTTTATGAGGCCCTCTAGATCTCATAAAATAATGAATTTCTCATGGGTTGTGCAATGAACTTGTTTTAACACTGAACTTTCACTGTTTATCACTGCAAACAATTGTTTTGTCCTTGCACAAATTTAACTTGTTATTGCTGTACCTTGAAATTAGGTTATGTTATCTCTACTTTGTAGGTGACATTTGGCCTTGCACAGGTCATAGGACATGAGTCATATAGTCACTGGGTTGACCCAATGATTTTCATCTTATCTAGACATAAAGGTATTTCAATATTAGGTATACCTTTACCTATGTTGTCAAATTTCAATATTAGGTAGACCAATATTAGTAAACCTTTACCCAAAAACTCCCCCAGGAAATTTTTTAGAGACCAAACCCTATAGATTGTTGCAGAATGGCCCTTGAATCATTTCATATCTCAATATTTTGATTTGATATTTTGAAATCATGACCCATGCTCATGGTCAAGACCATTGATGCTCATTCCAGTTCTCTGGAAACTCCAGCCCGGGTTTGATTTAGTTTCCTAAGCAGGGCTGGTCATAAGGAGTTGTCCATTAGTAACAAGATGCATGCATAGAAAAGTCTGAATCAAACAAAATAAGACTTTTCAGGAATCTACATAATCTGACTTATGCTCAAGCATCACTCGCAATATTCTGGATCTGCCTATAATTTTATTGGTTATTGTCTGCAAAAAGCTGAATTATAATACATAAGAGGCCAGTAAAGGGATTTGAGACTGCGGTCTTGTATATTTAAACTTGCTTGAAAATCTGGGCATGTGCCCAAGATTTCAAGCCTAGAATATTGAATAACAAACTCCTGTCCCTACTTGACCTGAATGTCGATGCAAGCTTGCAAAAGGTCGATGCAACGAAAAATATTAATTTAAGTTCATACCTGGTAAGGAACACTTCGACGTAATCATGACATTTTGGCATGTTCCCCTCTATTTCAAATTCTTTCCACTGGATTTCTAAGTAATGGCTTGTAGAGAACCAAGACGGTGGTTTAATATTAAACCAACAGTTGTACGGATTCCAATCTGGAGGGTACCGATAGGAAAGAGTTTGCAAAGAAGTCGAAGAAGAATAATTGAAGTGTTTGCCTAAGCAATTGGTGAGGCCACATTGTCCGCCTGTAAATAAAAGGCCAAAAACGACACTGCCAATAGCAAAATGCATTCTTGGTAGCTTTAAGCCACTGGCTTCGTTCCCCTCAACTTTGGATGTTGTTGCTTAGTACATTGCGTTTTCTAATGAATGATGATGACGCTCTTTGGAATGCGGAAAAGTTGCCGACTAGCACGGGGGCACAGATTCTGTGACGGGGGAAAGTTGTAGTAAGCAAAAATGGCGGCCAATTATCACGTGCAGTGTTTTGCTGCGCTGCGACGTGTAGAGACGAGGCAAGAAATACAAGATTATTTCCAAATTCCAAAGATAGAATGCATAACTTAATTTGCTTTGCGTTCAAAGCTAATAGAATCTTCAGTACATTAACAGAAGCAAGAATTATTAATTTTTTAACACCAGTCAATATATATTTTGGAAACTAGCAGCTTCAACTACTTATTGCTTCAAACTGAAAAGACAGCAAATCTGGCCTATCACGATGCAATTAACAAGGTACTTTTTAAAGGAGTTGTATCTCAAAAATTAGGCTTGGCCACATAGGCTAGCGAAAAATGGCAAGCACAGTTTTTCTTCAGCTTTCGATTGATATAAGTGGTTTCTTTTTAAAAATGTTTTTCTAGAAGTGCAAAAAGTTTTAAAGGTCATATAAAGCGAAAAACGATTTTCACATATTGTGTAAAGCTTTTTTCGCTTGTCAAGATGCTGTTTTCCGTTTCTTTCTACAACTTGAACTAATCTAGATATAGCGCCCGAAAGCACGAAAAAGGGACCTTCAAAAGTGATGCCATTTGGACGCGGTGAGATCGACGCTGTGACGTAAAAGGTTTGACACGTACCTTCCATAGCCATTGGAGCCCTTGTAAATGATGTTAATAGAAAAGTCTTGCAAAACAAGATAAAAGCACGAAACTTTGTCAGAATACAGAGTTTAATATGCTAAAAAGACAGGATGCGGAACTAATTCAACAAATGCCCCCTTGTGCTATTTTTAGACAGGGGTACTCGAATCCAGGCCTTTGAAGGAGTCTTTCTATAAATCAGTTTTAAAACGCGATAAAAGCACGAAACTTTGAGAAAGTACATATTTTGATACGCTGAAAATGATAGGATGCAGGAAATAACTGGAAAATTCCCCTTGGGCTATTTATAGAGAGGGGTACCTGATTCAAGGACTTTGAAAGGGTTTTCCATAAATCAGTTGCAAAACACGATATAAACATGAAACTTGGTGAAAGTACATACTGTGATACGCCGAAAAGGATAGGATGCAGATTCCAGCTGGCAAATGCCCCCTCGAGCTATATTTAGACTGGGGTACTTTATAAAAGGCTTTGAAGAGGCTTTTCAATAAATCAGCCGTAATACATGCTAAAAGCTTGAAACATGGGGAAAGTACATGGTTTGATACGCTGAAAATTGTAGGATGTAGTCCCAAGCTCAAAAATTACCCCTTGAGTTATTTTTAGACAGGTGTAGTTGATTCAAGGTACAAGTACATGGTTTGATACGGTGAAAAGTATAGGGTGCTGCCCTATTTTGAGTACCTCTTGAACTATTTTAAGAACTTGATCTCAGGGTTTGGGGAATTTTTTTCCAAAATCAGTGCAAAACACAACAAAAGCATGAATCCTGCTGCAGTACTTAATTTGATCATTTAAAAAGATAGGATGCAGTCTCCAACTGACAAATACCCTTATGCTTTTTCAAAACAGGTGTTCTTGATTGAAGTTTTTAAGGGGTTTTCTATAAACCAGTTGCAAATGACTTCATTATAGAGCTCTGGAGAAAAGGCCACGACAATTGCAAAGCAGGAAAACTAGATTGTTCTAGAAAACTATTTACATTGTTCAGCAAAATTATTGTGTTAGGATAATTGAATTGTAGTTGTGACATGGTAATTTGCATTGAGAAAATTTAAAAATGCTTTAGGAATATAAATCTCAAATACATAAGGAAAATTCTATAGATTTCAAGTCCATGTTAAATGTATTTTAGGTCGGATTCCAAGCATTGGGCTGCCCCTGGGCCAAGTTTTCTTGTGGCGGAACTTCCTCATTCAAAAGCAAGTGTTCATTTTATTCCACAAGTGAGAGCAGTTCGTACTGCCATTGAGTCTTGTCCTTGAAATATGAGCCGGCAAGGAGGAGAACTTCTTTGTGAACAAGATCCTTGAAGGGGTTTTATTCTGTTACACCGTTATTCAAACGTCTCGTTTATTTCTCGGCTGCAGCAGTACTCCCTGGGCTGATAAGCGATTAAGTCCAGCACTTTGTACACGAGCACCTAATAATAATAGTAATGGAAACTTTTCATTTTGAATTCCAGTTAAAACTACAATTACAAATCTCACTATGACAAGGTAATTTGTAACTGGCTAGCCTGTTTTTACAAAATAAGACTATTACAATTGTAGTAAAGAAAAGAAAAGAAAAGAAAAGAAAAAAAACGTTAAAAGGGGAGTAGCTCTGGGTTAGTCCATGTTTTGTTCCTACAGCAAAAAATGTAATAGGTGGTACGAATGGATATCGTAGAAAGCTTAGAAATTAGATATCGTTTGTGTTGATCATCGATGGAAAGAGAGTCACACATTTCAAGGAATGAGCTGCATGAGTCGCCGAGGATGCCAAGAGAGCTGATGGAGAGGTTTACAAATATGACAGATTTGAACCTTGGTCTTAGATCTGAGACAAGGCGAGCATTTTTTAAACGTTTCCTTTCTGCATTGCAGTTAAGGTTAGTTTCAAATCCTATTGTTAGTTCCAAAACATAAAGAATGTTTTCCTTTGTACGCAGAAGTAGATCTGGGTGCAGATTGTCTCCGGTTATGATGGATGGTGAGGAGAAGCCAGGTATATCGGCAAAAAGAGAGGTATAATTTCTTTAAAACATCTCATTTTCATTGAATACATTTTAAGTTTACAATTATACGACTCGCTTTTACAGGCATCATATAATTGGCTTATCTGCATTACAATTTTCAGAAGTCAATCAGTTCGGGGCTTAGCCATGGTTTGTTTCGACGACAGAAGATATAGTAGGTGCAGCGGATAGAAATGTTCATGAGTTTCATCAAGATGGATTTGGTTTGATTTGAGTCAAAATTGAGTTGATGTAGCATGTCGGAGAGAGAGGTAGATGAGGTTCCCAGAATGATGAACCCTTCTGAATTGAATGCTTTGGTTTCATCATATGCGGATTGGAATCGATCAGTTTGAGAGACATTCCCGGTGACAGACTAATTACTACCAAATTCTTTGCAAAGTTACCATAAATTCATACATACGCTGTAGTAATCCAGTAACTTCTAGCATGTAAAGGATTCGATCTTCAGTTACAAAGACAGGATCTGGTCGATAGGAGTCGCCTGTGATTAAGGAAAGTGATAGAAATGAAGGCAAGTCGGCGTAAAGTGAGCTGTTTCTAAGTGTTGAAAGAATTTTAGCCAAATATAGAAGTACAGAAACATGTCTCCAGGTATACCTACCATGTTCAAGATAATTCTTGCAGCTAGAGACTATGTGCTGTAATGATTCTGATTGGAGACAGAAAGAGCAAGCAGATGACTGAGTAATTGACCATTTGCAGAGGTTTTTCCTAGTGGCAAGAGTGTTGTTTAGGTATTTGATGGTAAAGTTGTAAATGATTTTTGGCAACTTTTGCTGGACACTAGACCAAAGTTGATTAGTTCCCTTAGAAGCAAATTTTAAGATGCACGAGATAATAAATCCTTGAGATGTAAGAACATTTTCAATGCGGTTTTCGTGTTCACTTTGGATGGATTTGAGAACTTGTTTGGTGTTGCGATAAACGTCATATTGTATGTTTGTACCAGTGCTAGAGTCTTTCCATAAAGAGCGAATCTCTTGGTTCGGGGACAGTCTTAAAGAGTTGCGGATAACTGTTTGGCATTGTAAGAACTTGGTAGATGGAAGAATGAGATTGATGCCAAACTTTGATTTTGGAATGACACGAGGCTACTTAGTGAAGCACTTATTGGCAGCTCGAGCCATTGTCTAACAAAGCTTGAAACAACATTGTCTAGATTCTCTGTCACCCATGTCTTGCTTAAATCAGCGATGGTCAGGTTCCAGGATATTTTGGATAGCACATATCGGTGGTATAACAGAATTTTGTTCTTTGGATGACACGAAACTTTGTCGATACTGGACATTAACGAGTTGAAAGTTTCCAATAGTTCTGACATATGATCACTATTATCCATAGAAAAGTTGAAGTATCTACCAAGATATTTAAAAGATAATAATAATAATAATAATAATAAATTCGTATTTGCCCTAGTGTCCGAGCTAAAAGCTCAGTTAACCTGAAAGGTATGTTTACTAGGCTTGTGTTATCCACTACATACATAATCACTTCCTGTGGAAGAGCAGCGCAGGCCCGGTCGACATCAAGCTACTGCCAGAAAAGGAATAAGGAAGAAATGGTCAAGAAAGGAAAATATGTTCGTGATGGAGTGTTATTACAGAAGTTTACCAAGCCGACGAGGGTACAGAAAACGAATGTTAGATCTTTGGAGGGAAAGGGGATGTTTATTGTAACTGAACAGCGTCGGTTTGACCAAAGTAATCAAATAAGGAAAAGAGGTTGGCTAGCAGGTCTAGAACTGGAAGAGTAGAATAGAATACGATCTTTTGGTGGTACAAAACTTGAAAATGGCTTTGAAAAAGCAAACATTTAGTAAACTAAAGCTTTTTGTCTGACACTCTTCAGAGTTTAAAACGTCAGAACATAGGCCGAAAACTCTACGCTAGGAAATATATATACCCAGTTGTGAATCGAAATAGACCAACAGAAACACGAGCACATGACTGTTGAGGTTGACCAATCAGTGCCGCTTACCTATTGAGAATGTTACCAATGGAGTCCTAAGGTGAAAACGAACTCCTTTTGTCTACACAGTAGCGGTTTTTTCGTGCTTATGTAGATAGATTCTAAAACTGCTAGGTGGAACGACGATCGGGCTTTACCAATAATCCGAAACATGTCGCCATTATAGTTTTTTGTACAATCTTGGTTTTCCAGTATAAATGCTGCCCGATAGCAGAATCGCAGGTTTTAGTTGTAAATCTAGATTTGCAAGACCGAGGTGGCTGTTCTCTTTGGAGATGGGT